AAAATTGAGGTCCCAGTCACCATAGAACCCTCCTCGATGAAGCAAGCCCACAGTCCTGACAGGTACCCCTGTGCCGTAGGATCCAGCTAGAACCGATGGTTCAATCATGGTCCTTGGGGTCTCATTTTGATCAGTAGATGTGTGGTTACAAACGCAAGCACTTTCAGATTTTTTAATTAGTTATACACAATTTGCCAGCCACATATGCACATTTATTCATTAATACTATATAATAAAATACAATTATGCTAGGGATGTAGCCTGAAAAAAGTGCAAATTTTGTCCAATACCTTTGAAAGTGCTTGCGTTTGTAGCCATTCACATGTAGAACAACCCCTGAAAGTTTCAGCTCAATTGCTCAAACGGTTCTCATTAAAAGTTACGGCATGCAAGCAATTTTGAGATTAAACGTAACTGCCCAAGAGTTGAAAAAAACCAAAATACATCAATATATGTCATAATGATACTCTCATGTCACTGAGGCTGCTTAAAACTTTTTGGACGATAAAGAACAGTAATTCAATTTGAATTTTCAACATATTGGACCCACAAGGACAATGTTTAATTATCCCAGACAGCCACACAAAGCCAAATGCGCCAATTTCATTACTACATTTTATGAGTTGTACTAAAATATTAGTATACACTAATATGGGTTTTATGTGGAAACTGGTAACTAAGTTGATTATGTCCAAATCAACTTTTCACACAAATATACACAATCTCACATTAGAACTTGAACCCAGTCTTCTACCTATTCACTAACATTCATGAAACATTTATGTATAGATTTCTTTGCTAAATGCACGACACATTAATAAATAATTACAAGTAAAAAATCTGTTGAATTATTTTTCTTTATTGATCGCGTCGGATAGTTAGTATAACAGTTAATTTGCGTTTCTCATGATTCTTCGTTTCTCAACAAAAATTCATTGGAGATATGATAAATATAAATAAAAAATATAAATAAAACTAAAAATAAAAAATGATTGCGTTTAGAAAAAAACTAAATAGATCATCGCATAGCTAATTAAATATTAAACCAATTAAGGTGATGCCGAAGCCCTGATTTTGACCGACCGAGCATTTAAAGTGTAAATTTAAATAACTTTTTTACTAGACTGATATTCGAAAAACGGCTCTGCGGAGCCCTCTGTATTGATGATGTGAGCAACTGTACCAAATTTCATACAATTTCATTCAACAGTTTTTCCGAAAAAGGGAAAACCTAAATCAAAAATTTCGATCCCGTTTTCCGGAAAAACTGTTGAATGAAATTGTATGAAATTTGGTACGGTTGCTCACATCATCAATACAGAGGGCTCCACAGAGCCGTTTTTCGAATATCAGTCTAGTAAAAAAGTTATTTAAATTTGATGCTCAGCCGGTCGAAATCGAGGCTTCGACATCACCTTAAAAATACAGAAAAATTATTTTAGCTTCGCTAATGTTATCAAGGTGATGCCTTGGTCACAATTTTTACCGACCGAGCACAGAAAATGTATATTTTCGTAACTTTTTTTCCAGGCTGATTTTCGAAAAACGGCTCTGTGGAGCCCTCTGTATTGTTGCTACGAACAACTGCGACGAATTTCAGTCAATTTCATCGTAGTTTTTCCGGAAGACAGGATCGAAATTTTTGCCTATTATGTGCAGGATAAAAAATTGTGGCCAAGGCATCACCTTAATGTTGGACAAACATTATAAATTAAATTATAATTCGCATATTTAATTTATAAGTAATTATTCATCTAGTAGTCATTAACTGGTAGTTGGTCAGAAACTGGTCAGTTTACCCTACCCAAATATATCGAAATATAATGATTGCTGTTGAAAAATATCGTATAGAAAAAAAATTTTAAACGACAATTATTATATTTTGATATATTTGGGTATTGGAAAATTTCGTGAACGAAAATATTTTGGAAAATTTCAAGTCGCCAACGAACAATTTTCATCAGTTGCACTCGAAAATCCTGATAGAAACCATTTTCTATCACTCTCTTTAAATTTCTCTCTTCATAGTTTGTACGACGCGGCATCATCTTATCATCTTTGTGTGTAGAAAAATTTTCACGTTTTTTCGTGAACGAAATTTTTTCGTGCCATTATCTAACTTTAATTGAAATAGTTTATGCAATCACGAACTCACAAGGAGAGCTTTTCAGGTCAGGGTCACAGATCTTTATCAAACTTTTTTGGGGGTCTTCTGGTACTCAATACTGAAGCTCTCTGTGCTTAGTTTGATCTCATGGGCCTTAGGGCCCATTTTTTAGAGGATTTATCACATTATAAAAAAATCTTTGTAATTTTCCATATCGATATAGAAGTACTTAAACAAAAAATGCAACGATTAAAAGTTTTAAAATTTTTCAAAGAATCTGCTTGAATTTTCCAGAATTTTTGGGACCATCTATCACTTAATTCAAGAGGCCCAAATTTGACGCCTTTTTAATAGATTTTAGGACTTCTTAAAGAGATGGTCCCAAAAATTCTGAAAAAATTCAAGTATATTCTTTGAAAAATTTTAAAACTTTTAATCGTTGCATTTTTTCGCTTAAGTACTTCTATATCGATATAGAAAATAACAAAAATTTTTTTATAATGTGGAAAATCCTCTACAAAATGGGCCAAGTATATCTTTGACGATTATTTCGATGTTTTAATATATTACCCAGTTGAAAAAAATTGCGTGGATATCCACGTGGATTATCCACGCTGATTCCACGTGGATCATACAGGGATTCCTTGAGGATGGGACATTGATTCCACGTGGATCGAACATGGATCATATAAAGAGTCCACGTACGTAAACCACGGGGATTTGCACGGAAATCCTCGTTGATTTTCGATCGATCCACCGGGATTTTCGCGGAAATCCTCGTTGATTTTCGATCGATCCACGGGGATTTTCGCGCAAATCCCCATTGATTTTCGATCAATCTACGGGGATTTTCGCGCAAATCCTCATTGATTTTCGATCAATCCACGGGGATTCTCGATCGATCCACGGGGATTTTCGCCGCAAATCCTCGCGGATGTTTCGAGCGCGTGCTCGCGAACAAGTTCCACATCCACGAGGATTGAAAAAAAATCAGCTTGGATCAGTAGAATATCCGTGGTGATTGCATTTTTTTCAGCCCATGATCGATCCACGAGGAATCCCTGTATGATCCACGTGGAATCCCTGTACGATCCACATGGAATCCCTGTATGGTCCACGAGGATTACTAATCCTCGTGGATTTCCACGTGGATATCCATGCAATTTTTTTCAACTGGGTAGTTATAATTGATTTGTGAAAAATTACAATAAATATTTTATCGGTAACGTTGCTATTAAAACTCTATTGTAAATAAGAGTATACTTTGCCGGAATTCAAACTTATTTATAAGTAGTTTAATACGTAGTATTAGCTAAGGCCGATCATGCAAATAAAGTTATCATTGATGAACATTATCAAATACTTCATTTGAATAGTTAACCGCAACTGTGACTGAGTTTGTGATTGTAGAAACTATTTCAATTAAAGTTAGATAATGGTTATATCTATTACAATTAGAATAATAGCAGATCAAAAAAAGTATCATAGTTATAATAAAAAAAAATGATACTTTGCCGGGATTCAAACTTATTTATAAGTAATTGAAAAGTTAATATGAGCACTGCCCGATAATAGAATAATATGTAAAAGAATGGTACATGCACTACGCATACGAATCGATTTGGAGAATGACAATTGGTTCATTATTCGTTATGAAATAGAGTCTAAAACGGATACGCCAATTTCTCATGCATATCATTATCGCAAAAATGATTTATAAGTTAATAATCGATAAGGAGCTCTTATTTTTTGAAAAGTGAAAATTCTGAAAGTGAACTATTATACTACGGCCCAAAACCTATCTAAATCACCGGACAGAATTTGGTTAAAATTTATTTTCGCTAAGATCTCGTGGCTGACACAAATGCAACGATTTCTCACGCGTATAGAAAAAATATCGCAAAATAGCGCACGAATTGATAATCGATGAAGAGCTCAAAATTTTCTGAAAAGTAAAAATTCTGAGTGTGAACTATTGTAGTACGTCCGAAAACCTTTCCGAATCACCGGATAAAATTTGGTTAAAATTTTTTTTCGCTAAGATCTCGTGGCTGAAATGAAAACGACAATTTGAAACATATTTTAAACATAACCTCTAAACGGCACTTCACTCAATTATCGATTTAGAAGAGGAATTTTCCGGGAAATCGGAAATTCTGAGAGTGAACTATTGAAGTAGAGCTATATACCTTTCGAAATCTTGTGTCAGAATTTCAATCGGTTAAGTATTTCCCAAGATCTCATGGCTGACTCATGTTTGACGAAAAATCGGAAAAAACGTATTTTCATGCTAAAAAAAATTTGGATGGCTCTATCTTTTTATCCAACGCACCAAATTATCTGAAAATTTGCATGAGTTCTTTATTTTCTATTCCCTATCGAATGATACCTATCTTGTAGCACTTCGAATACCAGAAGTACCCTAACTAGAATTACCTTTTTTTATTTCTCTCGTGTAGATGTATAGAATAGGTTCGCTGCACCTATCCAACATTTCTTAGGTAATAAGGCTAATTTCAATGGATTTCAATGGAATAAATTTATTTTAATAATTATATTTTTTGATAAACATAATTTTATGAAAATTATTGCATAAAAATTTTTTTTTAAATAATTTTTTTTTTGAAAATAACTTAAATTAGAAATAATTTTTTTTTGAAAAAAATTTTTCAATAATTTTTTTTTATACTTTGCCGGCTAGGTGCTACTGCACCTCTTGATACATCGATGAAATTTCCATAAAGCACAATTGTATTAACATTATTCACTTTTCTTGTTGCAGATTATTGAATAAAAAAGCAAACGCAGTACATCATGGAGATGCACCACGACGATCTTATTTACCTGACTATCTCTGAATCAGATCAGCTGGATAACCAGAATTCGTTTACCACCATCGGCCGTCGCTCGGTCTCGCCCACAAACGGCCTCAAAGAGCGATCCCTGCACTTCTGCCACATCTGTTTCAAGGACTTCAAGGACGAGTACAGCGTCAACGTGCACGTGAAGACCCACACCAGCGAAGAGACCTTCAGCGGCTTCAGCTGCGGCAACTGCGGCAAGTGCTTCAGGCTAAAGGCCCATCTGGCGAAGCACTGTCGGACCCACAACCCAAACGGCAAGAACGGCAACGATCGCAAGCAGGCCAACAGCCCGAGCTCGACCGTCACGTCGTCCGTCGTGCAACAGCAGCAGCCACAGCAGCAGGTCCAAATCAGCGACGCCGTCATCGACGCGCTGACGAACACCATCAGCGAAGCAGTCGCCGAGACAGAATCATTCACTGGGATACCCGATTTTATTGAGTTATATCATTCATAACTTTATGAAATATTATTTTTCATGTATTTCAATTTATTTATATATTTATAGAGAATATTTAAAAATAAATTAAAATTTATCAAAATATACTATAATGACATTTTTCTATTATCACCTTGTAGAGCATACTCTAATTTTCTTCGAGTACTCGACTGTTACCAAGTTTTGAGACTTTGCTTCATATTAAACCTGCATAATCAAAGATCAAAGAGAATAAACTCGTTTACAACGCTTGTTTCGTATCATCAAGAAAAGAATGGAAACTATTTGCACAATATCTTACGTATAGATTTGACATGCGAGAAAACGGAGCATAGGCAGAGCCCCGACTTCGCTATATGATGACGAATTTTCCACGCGTCAGACTCATTGGGCGTGCCCTCGGACTTTTTTATATTTCACAGTAATATCGTGCCCGCTGCTCGCCGTGAAACCACACATGCAGTAGGATAGCGGGGTCTCTTAATTCGGTAACGATTGGAAAGTACATAAGTCCAACTATTTAGGGCCGTTGCAGGTGAATTTACTACTACGCCGGATTTACGATTTCTAAAGCTACAGAAGCACGTGCGACTCGCATCTCTAATGTAACTTCGAGCTCGGCAAAATTGTCTTGCATCCCCGAAAACCATCGTCAGACTTGCACGCAAAATCTGTGCGAGAAACTATCGAGAGGATTTTTTCGGCGGTGGGCACTGCATATTTGCTCGGAATCAAACAACGAAAAACTGATGAATATATTTTTAACTAATTCCAACTTGAAGGCTGATACAGACCAAAAATAGTGATGGCGATCGGCACATTTGGAGAATTTTTCAATGTTTATAGTGTTATTAAATGTTCCAGATTTCCTCCATCATTTTTGTAATTAAATACTTTTTTTTTGTTAATTAAACGCATTATTTTGCTTCAATATTTTAATAATTTTTGTATTTTTATTTTATTTATATTTTATTTACAAAGAAATCATAAACAAGCTTCGATACTTGCAGCTGTACTTACATAACTGCCTGTTAAATTTAAAAATAAGTCTTATTTCTTCAATTTTCTAAATAAATTTTCGAATTTTTTCGTATTTCCTTATACTCAGTATAAAAAGAAAAAGAAAGTAAAACAGGATCAAATTGATTGAAAAAAAGTTACAAATAATTTAGTGTTGCGGATTTCATACGACCGTTTTGAAGATCAAATCAACTGCAATGCCATTAAAATTATTTCTGAATTCATTATTACTAGCTAGGCCAGCATGTGAGAAAATCACTATATTAATGTAAAATAATATTTTACCGTTAATTTATAAAAATTCAAATATCTTACCAACAGATGGTAAAGTAGTAAAGTTATCATTACATTATCATTACAGACAAACCTAACAGTAAATATATATTAGATGTAATATTATTTAAACATATCTAGAAAAATCTATAGAATCTATATAAATAACTAAAAGTCTATAAGGGAGTATAAGTTACTCCATATTTTATTAATTTTAAAGAGGACATAAAAAAAGTAATTAAGAAAGCCAGCAATTGACAATACATCAACAGTCACACAGATAGACGTCACTGTCAGTAGCAGATTTGTTTTCTTTCTGCTAACTATCAAATTCAAGAAGATTAGTTATTTATTTGAGCTTGTCTCAGTTAATTTTTTAATACGACAAAAGTTTTACTAAATTCGGACTCAAAATGGCTATGGCAGTATTGCAACGACGTGCAAACGTAAGTATGCAATTATTAAATTATTTTGTAAAGTTTTTTTACTTAACCCTTCAAATGCATTACCAATAAATCATCAATCACCACATTTTTACAAAATAAACTTTTTAACTATATCTTTAAAATTGTTTGTTTGACAGTGTAACTTTCTATTTAATATATTATATTGTTAAATGTAATTTTTTGTTATAGGTGAGGTTACCCCCAGAAGTAAACAGAACTCTTTATATTAGAAATCTTCCATACAAAATCACAGCTGAAGAGATGTATGACATATTTGGAAAATACGGAGCCATCAGACAGATCAGAGTGTATGTTTAAATACTTCTTTGAACTTATGAATCATAAATGTTTAAATTTTCCATCATTTAAAGTAATCATTATTGTTCGGTTTTCAGTGGCAATACTGCAGAGACAAGAGGGACTGCTTTTGTGGTCTACGAGGATATTTTTGATGCAAAAAATGCCTGTGACCACTTGAGTGGTTTTAATGTATGCAACAGATATCTAGTGGTTTTATATTATCAAAGTAATAAGGCATTCAAAAGGGTGGATGTTGATAAAAAAATGGAAGAAATTGACAAACTGAAAACAAAATATAATTTACATGATGAATCTAAGTAAACTTGAGAGTTTTGAGTAATTCATCCTCTCTTAAAATGTACATACCGTATTTATAAGCTTATTATTGTATTTTATCATACAATTCAATGTAATCGTAATTATTATTAAGTTAAAAATAAAAGCTTATGTAATAAAATTTAAATAGTTGAGTTCAACAATCATATTGAAAAGATTTAAAATTCAATTTGACTTCAATTACACCCTTTAGTTAGTAAAAAAGTCTTGATTAACAATTCGATTAGATTCAATAGTCTATAGCAGTAATTTAGTAATATTATTTGCTCAAAAGTCAAGACCTTTTATATTCTGATAACTTCAGAACACAATAAATGGTGTATTTACAATTGAATAAAAACTACAAATTGAATCTTCCATTTATATACCATACATAATGATGTATATTATAATTAGCTATTCTATAGTATAGCCAAAAAATCGAACCTGTATATGCACCACCGTAGCGTTTTGACACACAATAGTGATACACGGAAAAATTATCTTACGAATATTATTTATGATTATTAAGTCGATTGACCGGATATCGTCGCTTTAATTGCTAAAAGGAACGTGGCTATATTATGGTAAAAACATCATATTTTGAATTTGATTACTTCTAGTAGAGTTTCATCAAATTAACGTTAAATATGCATCATGATTGTTTCCATATTTTGAATCATCAAATTCTTCGTAAATCACGAAACTTCTAATATATGACTGGCGATACTATTTGACTAATAATGCTTTGAACAAAATTTTTATTGCTATAGGAATCCATGAAATTTAACTTATAAAATTTATAATTTTTTCTTCAAGAGTAAAAATTGATCAAAATGTTTAGCAATCTGTCGGAGAAAAAACAATTTTTCGACAGAGCATATTTTATTTTATTAATCGCGTTTATGGTCTTTAAAATAAATTTCCGTTTAATCTTATTCACCTTTTGCGCGAATGGCAACGTGTATTTATTCAGTAATATAAGTTTATTGCTTATTTGTGCTATGTAATAATAAGTAATAATTCACACATGGAAAATGTTTGTTCGATAAAATCATGCTAAACACGTGTCTGACGAAAAATGTACAACCAGCAATAAGTATGGATATAACAATGAAAGTAATTCATTTTCTTTGAGAAATTGGTAAAATTTTTCTAAATGCAAGAAATATTCTTTTTTTCATCGAGTTCTTTTCCACCGTATCCTTCGAAATCGTTCGTCCTTTTTAGTTTTAACCCGCCAGCGAAGAGATCGGCAAAAATGAAACATTCATCGAAATCTGTAGGCGAACAGAAAACTAAAAAGCTCCGAATAGGAGTATCGCGTCATTCGAGGAAAAAAAAGCAAGACGTAAATGTAAAACCCATCGCTTTGTGAATGGATATTCAAGAGAGAGAGAGAGAGAGAGAGAGAGAAAAAAATCCAAGTCCATTGCGAGAGATCTGCTCTCGGACGTTCAAGGTCCCTAAAAGTGCTTTTAATCGGCAAGCGTCATAATAAAATCGCGTCTCGCGCGTCGTGCGTATTTCATATATATATATATATAAAAAAATAATGTGCTTGTATACGGCACATCGTGATCAGGCACCAACAAACACGCAGCGCGCATACCGATACATTCGCACACACGCGCGCGAGAGACGCGATCATTTACGTATTACGACCTCCTTCCTTGCTTCCATCAAACGTTTAAGAAGAGAGAAGAGGTGACAGGTGTGCGCGTCGTATCGAGCGCGCGTACATGTGTATATCTTACGTCCACATTTGCGCGCATAGAGCGGCTGCGGGCTTATAAATTAATACTAAAAAAAAGAAGAAAAAAAAAGGAAAAGGAGCGACGACTCGACACCGGTATCGTAGTTCGCGTCTCGCCGTTGTACCGCAACGTTCGGATCTTCGGCATCCTATAGGCGGCCGCGCGTCGGGCAACAATTTTTCAGTTCGAGTTCGCGCGAGTGATATAGGCACACGCTGCTGCAACGGCACCGATTTTCCCTGCCTGCAGTTGCACGAACTTTGCAGTGAATTTGTTATGGTACATTTGAAAAGGACACTCCAAAATGGTACCCGCTAAAACTTGTTTATTGTTCGTCTTCGTCGTCCAAACGGTTTACTTCAAACCTGTTTGGTCTCAAAGTTCTTACGTCGAAGGTAAGCGTTACGACGAAACGATATTGCTATTTCTACATTTTTGAAATTTTTCATTGGGTTTTCCTTGTTTCCTTGTTTTTTTTTACGTGGCAACAATCTTCATTGTCCACACGTGTTTTTTTAATTATATCTCAAGTATGAGCGATGAATCTCTATACAACCGATCTTGTCTCTCTCATTGATACTTTATATAAAATCTCACTGGTAATTTATAATGAACGCACGTTTCAGCCGTATTCCTTTTAAAGGCGAATTGATCGTTACAAGCACAATTTAATTTTGTGAATTTTTTTTTTTTTTAATAGGCATTATGACGAAATATTTATTAATGATTTTTGACAAGGTGACTTGAAAATTCACCATCGTTTTATGAACACATTATGCGAATTTAAATAAGACGACACTCTGATATTTCTTTAAATTAAAAAAAAATTTTTACTATCAATCAATATAAATGGATAATAATAAAAAGTAAAAAAATAATAAAACTGACTGCTTTAAGCTACATCTTGCTCGCACCGTGTCGCGTTACTTTATAAAGTCCCATTATCGTTATCCGACCGAACTCAAATCGAGTCCGAGTTTTTATCTAATACATATACGGGAAAATCGAGAGAAAACAAATTAATAAAACGGTTGAACAAAGAAAATTTCTCCCACTTCGGCAAAAGTGGGAGGAATTTATTTTCCGTCTCAGAGAGTAGGGACGTGATATTTAGAAGCGCACGAGGACATTTGCATGTCGATTTGTGCATGGATTTAGACGTGATAACTCTTACCGCTCGCGTTTTTTGCATTATGAATGGATTCCACTATTATTTACTTTTTATTTGCCTCGAGACATTTCACTACTCATTTGCTTTTGTGTTTATAAAATCGTCATCAGGTAAAGGTATGAATATTTATGTTAAGAGAGTGGCGTATCATGTACATTTAATACGATATAAATTGATTGTGAATCAACTACTGAATGATTGCATAGTAAGAATGGTTTTTCCGAAACATTAATGAATGCATTTATCATAATGGGATTTTCTATTATATCGCATACATCATATGCAGCAGATCTTATCTGATTATAATACTCAAAAGTTCCTATGATATTGAATTCTTCACACTTCGATTAATAATCATTTTTATTCGATTTAACATGTTGCATTTTTTTCCTTTTTTTTTAGATGAAAAATTGCACTTTTATATCTTAAATAAAAATTTCAAAATACGAAAAGAGAACTAATTGATATTAACGAAATGCAAACACATTAATTTTGCGCTTCGTTTAAAGTCATTGGTTTCGATGAGCTTTAACGCATAATTGTGATAATATTGATGAACATACAAAAATACCTGGCTAAATAAGCGCTGCAAAATTGATTATCGATCGATCTTGAAGTGCATTATTTAACTAAACAAACTCAGCTGTGATAATTATACTTCGACACATCCGATAGTAAAGACTAATCAATGCTCAATGAAAAATAAATTTGGCAAGTCGTTCCCGATGCGCATATGAGTTTTATAAATAATTGTGAAAACATTGCAGCGAGTCGATCGTATCGGTCGAACAGGAGAAAATGAAAATTATGCACTTGAACAATCTTATACGCGCGACGCGCAATCAAAATTACGCTCGATAAAAAAAATCGTACATTTGATTTCAGACCAGCCATGCACCGTCAAAGGCAAAATGGGCATATGCCGCCAAGTGTGGAACTGCAATTCCGTGTACAACGATTTCTTGGCCGGTAAAACCGACGCCGTGATCTGCAGCTTTCAGGGCACCAGTCCGATCATATGCTGTCCCGACGGCATCCACGGGCCCATGAAGGTCGTCACGGAGAAGGACAACGCCGTCTGGGGAACCGTCGATCAGCAGCAGCAGCCAACGACCTCGATGACGACGCCGTCTTACAATAACAACGACAATAATAACAACAATAATAATCCCGGATGGGTAACCCCCGGACCGTCGTTTACCACGAGGAGACCGAACAGATTTCCAACGACTTTGACGAGTCGATACGCGGAAAATCCCTTCCTCACCACTAAACCCCCTTGTAAAGCTGCCCGTAAAAGTGAGTATCAAAATTTATCGAAATCGTAGACGTGCATGAGTTCAATGAAACAACAGATAGTCCCCTCGTATTCTTCGATAACTTTCCAGTTACTAATATAATTATTTCCATTTGCTTATACGCGAGCTGATACTTTTTTTATTTACGTCATAATAAACGTCGTTAAAAAAATGTCTAAAGTACTCGCCAACTGTCGCTCGAGAGGAAAAATTGGCAGGCGTTCGATTCCTCGACGCGCGTACCATAAAAATAATACGCGATCGTTGTTGGTTCAATAAAAAAAAAATGTCGAATCGCAGCGAGATAAGGAATTTCTCAATAACGCGCACGACTCGCTTCAATTTTTTGCGCATATAGTGTGCTCCGAGTACGCGAAAGCCGTCTACGAATGGGTGAGACCGCCCACGCTGCTGGACGAGAACAGCCTGGTGAACCGATCGACATGCGCCATCACGTCGAAGAAGCTGATCGTCGGCGGCAAGAAGGCCTCGCCCCGGGAATTTCCCCACATGGCCCTGGTCGGCTACTTGAACAACAACGAGGTCCACTGGAGGTGCGGCGGCAGCCTCATCTCCGACCGTTTCGTCCTCACGGCGGCCCACTGCACTTACGCCCTCGACTGGTAAGATTTTATCTCTGCCGCGTGTACGGCCAATTGAGGGAACGAAAATGAAACGATCGCGCGGTGTGCCATGACTTTTGCAGGGGTGACGCCGAATGGGTTCGTCTCGGCGTAACGAACATGCTTCAAACTCGAAACGCGCAAGATCGCCGAATCGTCGATCGCATAAGGCATCCCAAGTACAAGCCGTCGTCCAAGTACTACGACATTGCTCTGCTGCGATTGGAGACACCGGTGAAGTTCAATGGTTACGTCAGGCCGGCTTGTTTGTCTCTCGACTCGAGACTGCCCGTGGGCCAAAATAGCCTGGCCACCGGTTGGGGTCTCAGAGAGATGTGTAAGTAGTTTTTTTCATTACCAAGAAAACGTCGTACTTCGCTGTAGAAATATCGTTGAAACTTGCCGATTTGTTTCTTTTTTTTTTTTCACAGTCGACACAGACGCACCGGAAGATCTGCTCAAGGTGACGGTGCCGGTTATAGCGCAGGACCAGTGTCAGCGCGTCTATCAAAATCAAAAGAAGAATTTGGCAAATGGCATTGACCAAATGACGCAATTTTGCGCCGGCACGTACGGAAAGGACACCTGTCAAGTATGTATCAAGTTTTTTCGATCGAACGGGCTCATTATGAATTGGTCATAATTTTCGTATAACATTTTTCAGGGTGACAGCGGAGGTCCATTGATGGTATACCATCAAGAAGAAGAATGCATGTACGAAATCATTGGAATAACGAGTTTCGGTAAAGCTTGCGGCAGTGTTACGCCTGGTGTCTACACGCGAGTTTACGAATTTACCGACTGGATTGGAAGTATTGTTTGGCCAAATCTTTGTTAGTTCAATACCTCGAAAGTAGCCTTGTAAATTATGGTCACTTTATTGTTAACTGATTCATATTAAAAGAATAAAAAAAACACGCTGCGTCAATGTATTTAGAAATTTTTAAAAATTTTCAACTATTTAGGCTTTACAACTTTTATATTTCACTAAAATAACAATAAAAATTTTTCAAAAATTATGTTTGAATATCATTAAATTACAAGTAATATGTTTGACTCATTTATTTTATGTAACTCATAATTTTTGTAAATAATAAATGCTTAACTAGTTTATAAACCAACCTTAAGATAAACACTCTTTTTAATTGAGAACTAATTATATGGATCACTGATAAAGAATAGTGCTCAAGTTTTTATAGAATATAAAAGAACAATTTATTTTTTTTTAATATTGGTATTCCATTTGTATGCCAATCAAACACAAGTATTTTGTAAAATTATTCTGAATAAATCATAATTATTAACTAAATTAAGGAATATTGGCCAAATAATCCTTAACATTTGATGGGTCTAATCTGCGAAAACCATTTGCATCACATATGCCAACTTCAATATTGTCAGCTGTCATTTGACCTTCAAAACCTTCTTTTAAAGTTAAAATAGCGGTGTGCACAGCATCGTCCAACTCTAAATCTTCACTATAACGTTTTTCTAAGAAAGTTTTACCGTTGATGAAGTTTTTGCCCATGGCAGTTGCTTTCCATGCAAAGTAAGCCCCAGATGGATCACATTGAAATAAGTAGGGCTTTCCTTTATCCCAGCCACAGATCAGTAAAGAAACACCAAATGGTCGAACACCACTAAAAAAGTTAGAATGAGTTATAGTAATTTTGATAAACATTATATAAGAAAATTTTTAATATAAAAAATTTTACCCAGATTGTGTGTACTCTTGCATTAACATAGCAACTCGTTGAACAAGTTGGGCAGTAGGAATAGATTCTTTATAAACAAGATAATATTGCTGAGCCATCTTACGTGCTTGCTTTACAAGCAAGCGATAATCAGGGCCCATTCCACTGTAGACCATACCAATGTAAGGAGTTATCATTTCAACTTTGCTTACACTGTGTTCATCGTACAAAATTGATTTGTGTTTATTTTCTGTCGCAAGTACAACACCATTGGAGGCTTTGATTCCCACACTGGGAGCACCAGCAGCCACAGCGGCTAAAGCATACTCAATCTGCACCAGTTTCCCCGAAGGACTGAAAGAAGAAAAACAAAAAAAAAATTGTAATGAAGAATAATACATTTTAGCCTCTACAATTGTGAGATATTTCAATATTATAATGAAATAAATATAGTTAATATGAGTTTTATGCTTTTGAATAATATTATTATAAATAATATTATTTTAAAGAAAATATATTCAAATTTGTCTAATAAATAACATCAACAAATACCAACTAATTGGATTGTCAAGTTTTGCTAGCTGCAAGAAATCTAAAAATCATGAAATCTTAATCATTGACTTCTGTGAAATTCATATTTCTATTCATTAGTGACAGTATGTGGTACGAAAACATCGTACGAAAACATAAATTGAGTTTTCCCAAACAATATAAAGAAATCCCCGCAAAAATTGTTTGTCATTGTCTTCGAGGTTATGATGCGGGCAAACTTGTATATAAAGAGTCACATGCAATTTTACAAAGGGCATAAAAACAAACACTCTTAATTAATTGGACACATTCATTTACCTGAAAGTTGTGAGAGAAAAACTATAACGTTCTGAAGCCATTATGTTCGTTATATTTCCAAATTCTTTTGGTAAATACAACCAAGAATACGGCGTGCCAGTCACCGACCGTATACGAGATATTTAATTTTTCCGGCGGCTGTCTGCGCCCCAAGTCTTTTGCAATGATGGCGCGCAGATATTGAAGCAAATTTTAAAGTCAAATTTGCGCGTTAGAATAAGTTGAGATGATATATTTTTTCATGATTTTTCACAGTTGCTGAAATTTTTCTTTTTTTTTTGTAGAATGCTGAAAGAATATAAATTATTAATGTGTAAAAAACTGCAACATTTCTAAATTATTTATCAACTTACCCTTGGTAAAGCTTATTCAATAATTTTTTAATTTAGAGAAACGAAGGATTTATGCTTTACATGATACTTGTTTAAATGCTGAATTGTTTTAAGGTTATTTATGAAAGTTTATCGATAATTATTAGTTATACACTTGCAACATTTATAACAAAAATTCGAACGAATTAAAATTTTTTTTCGTAAATATTGGTTTTATTGCGAATAATCTGGCGCAGTATTCTATTGATAAACTTTTATAATGAATAATAGCAAGTTCCTTAAAAAAATCATGTTTAAAAAAAAAATTATTTAATTCTTAAAGACAGATTCCTAACGTTTAAACAATTTTTGAAAAAAAATGTAGCGATTTCGAAATATTTAAATAAATAAACTTTCTTAAAAAAATTCTAGTCTAAAATTTAAATTTTCTTTAGATGATTAAAAAATGTTTTTATCAATTGCTGTTTTTTATTTGTGTAAAAACATGCGATGTGGCATTAAATTCTCAGCGGTTAGAATGGAAATCCAAGCCATTATCGGATTCAGCTGTTGTGGACGTCAACAGTGTGATTGAACCATAACAAGTTTACAAGTCTCCGAAGCAGACGTTATCGTTATCCCGAAAAGTTGCAAGTTAACGTTCGTGCTACAAGTTGATTTGCACTAAAACTGCGTTGCTAATATAAAATTACGTCAATTTAAAATAAAGAAAATGATTAAATTACTAGAAGAAGTTGATTTATCTGGATACACGTTGATTCTTCCATCGGTATCAGTTGGTAATGTTGGTCAACTCAGCGTTGATCTTGTTATTGCAACCCTCGGTTTAAAAAGAATCGGCAGATTATTTGATCCAGCATTCATCCCCCTTGTTGGAGCTGATCCATACGATGAAAATAGTGAAGATATCTGCACTGCAGTTGATATTTATGTCTGTCGTGAAAAAAAATTAATTGCTATTCAAATCAGATCACCTCTTGTCAAAAGACCAATTAATTTTCTCAAAACAGTGTCAGATTTCATTTCAGAGAAAAATATTTCCAAGGTTTGATTCATTAAAAAAACTAAAACTATGTCATTATTATAAAGTCTTACAATATTTTAAATTAATTTCTGTCTTATATAGGTTATTATCTTGACTAGCAGTTTTGGTCATGAGAAAAGGGATATACAATTGAGGACAGCTCCGCTTCGTTATTTAGCTACAGACACATTGTTAGAGCAAGATGCCAAAACTTTTGAAGATTTATCATGGATTGCGTTAGAGCCAAAACCAATTGATGATTTCAGTAATCAAACATCATTACAAATTCATGGGGGAGGATTTGCCAAAATTTTATTTGAAATTTTACAAAAAAACAAAGTACCCTGTGTTGTAATAATGAAATACTGCTCAGAAGGGGATAATATTCCTGATGCTATTGAATTGACAAATTACTTCAATCAATATGCAAAGTTAATTGATACAGACAGCCAATTGTTAGGACAATTCAAATATCCATGTTCATGGAAGTTTTTATTTGGAAATTCCCCTCCAAAAGAGATTTTTTAAAGCAATAAATATTTTTTATAACAAGTTCTTTTTTTATTCAACATGTTTGAAAAGTTTTTCACTTTCTTCTTCATACAAAATTACAGATTCACACTAAACATAATTGCACAATTTAGCATAGCTCTCATAATTTACGCTAACAGCTTAGATTTTGCTGAGAAAGCTGTGTAAGAAACAAGAGCAGCTAAAGCAGCTGCCAAGAGTTCAGAGTTGATCCATGGTCCAGTGTAAACACCTGGATTATTGACAACAACAACAGCCAAAGGCTTGACGCTGGCTGGATCTTCTCCATTTCTGATTGCTTTGCGAATGGCAGAGAATCCTTCATCGTCATACAGCTTAACGCTGTAGTCACCGGAGTGAGCCTTTTTGATATCATCAGTCCATGAGACCTATTTATGAGAAAAATAAATTGATTAAAAACATTTTCATCTCAAACATTCACTCATTTCAATTATTTTAAAAATAAATAAAATAAACAATTTTTAAACTTTGATAAGACAAACAATAACTGATGAATACATTTCGTATTGTTTACATTGTCTTTACAAGAAAAGTTTTTGATCGCGGCTCTACCCAAAGTAATTGCAAGTTTGGTGGCATAAACAATACGATGTAAGGAAACATACCTGGTACTTGTTATCAGCGCTCAGGCGTACAGCTGGCATGGATTTGCCATCGACCTCGGCGTACAGGGAGATGCCTTTGGCACCATTTGTGCATTTGAGGGTAAATTGAGTGGTAAATGCCACCTGAGTTAATACAGTTGCATCCTCGGTAACATATGCCGATGCGCTGACCTCGGGCTTGAGGCAAGTTTCTGCCGATACAGACAAAGCTGCGACACAGCTGACCAGGAGTACTAACAACAACGACCTCATCTTGACTAAAAATTTAACAGAACGGTTATTTCTTCAATGAAACGAGTTATGATTTTTTATTATTTAATGATTTACTTTGCTGAACGGTGGGTTACTTTCTGAAGTCAACTAATAATTCGATGGTTGTCACTCGCAGACTGCCGTGTTGGTAGCTAATAGTGCCGCTGGCAGGTAGTCGCTGTATCGAAAACGCGAGCCAAAGCCACGTCAAGCAAAAGTCGTGCCGCACCGCCACTGTTGCCCATGTCGGCAAATCGCGAATCAGAACTGCAAAGCTATCGCCTAAGCATTTGAATCTGTCAGAATTACAGTCACGATTCGGTCGTTTCACGGTGCAAAGAGCCATTGTAAGGCTTGCATAAGATCGCATGGAGAATCATTTGCGTTCAGAAATTGGAGATTGAATTCTTCTGTAAATTACTTCCCGCTTTCTGGAACTTTTATATGACACGCTTATACACTCGTAAGTGTATATGAATACTGCTCTTCAGTCTTCGTCGACTGGATAAACTAGTTTTTCGGATTACTGTGTAGGTGTAGTGCGAAATACTTTGATTTTATTTTTAGCCTTTAGCTCCTCAATTTTCTCATTCGCTTATATTTATAAATAAATAATTACCACAATTTCGACAGAGATATGTTCTGAATAATACCAATAATACGAATCTTATTTCTTTTTATTACTAGTGTTGTGAAAAGATAATGCATGCATTGGAATAATGAGTGACAATTCAAAAGGCCAAATTGATGCTGTAAGTTGATTTTGACCTCTCCAAAAATACATTTGTTTCGTTCTCTTGAGAATGCATGTAACTAATTTGTAATTTCTAATAATGCAGAGTATTTCGGATATGGCATCTGAAGAAAATCCAACAGTCAAGTCGACGGCCGTCGTCAAATATTCTGCTTATCCAACTCCGGTAACTTTTGCTCAACTTCAGTGCAATACAGATTTAAAACTTCCTCCCAGCAATTGGCTAAGTACCTCCGCTGAGAGTTATGGTTTACAAAATGTTTGGCATCGTGGCACTGGGTTTACCAGTTTTCGCATGGCCCACATGTTTCCTGACTGTGTAGGAGAGGTAGATGTTATTTCAGATGCTGAGAACATCAAAAAGCTCTTGAAAATTCCTTACAGTAATGCACCAATATCAATGATTGTGCATAGAGTTGAAAACACTTTGCTACTTGATGACTTTGACATTCATAAGTTTCTTCTAAAGCAAGAAGAGGATGACTGGAGCTGGTTAAGGAAATTTTGCCAAGAACTTATCAGCGATCTTGGCGCCAAAGAAAAAAGAATTTCGACAAAAGCTAATAGTAGAAATGCAATACAACAAAAAAATTTGATATCAAAGTTTTTATATCATTCTTTGGTTTTACCAGAAGGTGAAAAAATTAAAGAACCAACACCTAAATTACCTGTAGAAACCTTACAACAATCTTTGCCAGAACCTACTAAAGAAGAGCAACTTCCTGATCCAAATGATCAATGTAATTATACAAGAAATGTTGTTTGGACTTTTGAAAATATACAAATGTTGATTGGGACCAACATGCCAATATTTGGTGGCCAAACTCATCCTTGTATAAGTTTGAAATTACGCGATGCCTCAAAACCCATCAATGTTTTGACTGGAATTGATTATTGGTTAGATAATTTAATGTGCAATGTACCAGAAGTTATTATGTGTTGCCATATTGACGGTATTGTACAAAAATATGAGCTTATAAAAACTGAAGACCTTCCTAATTTACACGATTCGCAGTTTTCTCCTAAAGTAATTAAAGATATTGCTCAAAATATTTTAACTTTTCTTAAGCACAATGCTACTAAAGCTGGACATACATATTGGTTATTTAAAGGTATTTATATAATAATACTCATTTTAACTGTTAAATATTTTTTTATTCAATTCTTTTAATTATTATTATTTTATTTACAGCAAAAAATGATGATTTTGTTAAATTATATGATTTAACATCACTTTGTGATGAGTCAGATGATAAGACACAAAATCCTTTTACAATACCTGTTGCTATGTTATTGTACAGAGTGGCCAGAAATATGAAATACTCAGCTGATTGTGAAAAATATCAAGGGACAATAAGAATGCTTTTGAAAAATTGCATACAGCTTCTACCAAAAGAAAAATATCCTCAAATAGTGACATCTGCTCACTTTATGATATCGGATTTATACGTGCCAGCTGATACAGATCCTTCAAATCCTAATTTAAAAGATCAAGAAGAAGAAGATAACCAAAGTGATAGTGGCAGTCAAACAGATGATAGAAGTGAAGAAAGATTTGAACAGGATGTTAATGCTGCTATTAAATGTTTAACTTTAGCTAACAGTAAGTTTTAAATAAAATTAAAAGACAATACTTTTTATTTATAAATCATCAAATACTAAAAATTTTAAAAATATTTTTAAACTACAGTTACAGATCCTCATTGTAAAGATGAACATGGAAACTTAAAATTTAAACCTCCACCTATGACTGGTTCTGTAGAGGAAAGATGTCAAGCAGCTTTAGAACATGTTGCAGCTGGACTAGAATGTTTGAAGTACTTTCCAAATAACTCAGAAACAACACATGCAGATGATGCTTGTGAAGAAACAACAGTTCAACCAGAAAAAAATAAACATGAATATGATGAAGCATCACTCAATATGGCCAAACCATATCAGGCAATACCTATGCCATACGAACCAATAAATAAACTCACAGCATCAGAGATTTTAATTCATGGAGTATCTGAAACTACAGATTCTGACAACAGTCAAATGTATGTCGAATTTTATTCAAGTATATTATCTATTTTAATCTACTTCTCTATAAATGAATTAATATGATGTTTGTTATTTTCAGTAAAAAACGCAGTAAACAAAAGAAAAAGAAGCCAGCTGTTAAAAATCCATCTGAGAATGATTCATCTGGTAAAGCATTACTCTGCAAAGTTGAATCACAAACTTTACCTACTTGGCAAGCTCCTAAAAAAGACGACAACCGTAGTTGGAGTGCTCACTTACGTATATTGCTCAACGAAAAAGCTTCACTAGTTTTCGCGGTGTTGGCTGAACAAGAATATTCTTTGAAAAATTATGGAGCTTCATTAAGATATATTTTGTCGGTTTTGCGTTGTCAAAAACTATTAGAAGTTTTTTGTGATGTCAAAAATGAAAAGGTTATTAGTTATTTACTTGGACGAGCAGGTGATTGCTGCTTTATGATAGTTCAGGATTGGAGTAATATTGAGAAACATCGCAACGATTTTGAAACGAAAAACGTAATCGAAGATTCCATCACTGATCCTATTTTTGCCATTGAAAATCTTGACCTAAGTAAGTTCTTTAACATTCTGTTTGGCATTCAATTTTGAATACTACTTAATAAATGACATTTTATTTGTAGATTTTGTTGAAATAATACCCGAAAAATTTGAATCAATGGAAAAAAACCTACTTGTATCATGTCATTGCTATGAAAAAGCATTAACTCTCAATCCACTGGAGTCTGATCGTAATACTCTATTAGTACGTTATGGGAACATCCACAACGAATTAGGAGTATTATATATGAATCAAGCGAGTTGTAAGTTGCAAAAAATACTTACCTTTTTTAACATGCTATTAATCTTTTGTTTATCTTTCACAGCTCGGTACCATAAAAATTCCGAACTCGAGGAGTTAGACGTTACAACGCCACTCGTAAAGTCTTTGAGGCATTTTGAAGCTGGAGTGAAAGCTTTCGAAAAGGTTTCAGACGATACCAATCTTGCTCTGGTACATTCCAATATCGGTCGATTGATGCGTCTGTGTGCTCACGTTCATAAGATTGAACACGCTTCTCGTGAGCGACACTTTTACAACAAAGCGATTGCTAGCTATCATAAAGCTTTGCAATATTTGGGCTCGAGAAAAACTAGTCCCGATATTTGGGACGCCGTAACGTGGGATCTTTCGACTACTCTTTACACTTTGGCTTCAATACTTCAAGATTATCCGGATATCAGAAGCGAGGTGCGTAAAAATTTTTTGATTTTTAATCACTACATATTTGTATTCTTATTATATTTTTTGTTCCAGAATAACGATGGATTAGAGCGAGAAGTGGTTGATACTTTCCAGAAAGCCTTGAAGTACTGTGATACTGAGACTCCCGGGTCACGTCAACCCGTGTATCAGTTTCGAGCAGCGGGCATACAACATCGTTTAGCTTCGCTTTATCATAAAATTTATCGGGATTTAGTTAAAAGTGGTGTAGAAAGTGACAATCCCAAACTTAAAAATTGTCTGCAATTAGCAAAGCAATATTATGGAAAATCATCGCAACTATTGCTTACCTTAGAACAGACCTGTGAATACCTAACGGTGCAATTAGAGCTTGTTGCTCTATACGAATTGCAAGCCCAAGGTTAGTAACATTATTTTATAAAAAAAAGTATTTTTGCATAAAATAAATTATTTTGTTATTTCTAGTATCAACTACACCAACTAGTAAGCTAAAAGCGTATCAAGCAGCTTTAGAAGTCATTATACAAAGCCGACCAGTAAATAAATTGGTACTAGCGCGTCATGAAAGCGTAAAAAAGAAGGGTAATCCCTCTAAAGGGCATGAAAAAAATAAAATAAATATGAAAAAACAAAAAAAATCTAAAGCAGATAAGAAAGATACTAATATTCCAAATGTGCTTCTGACTAAAGAAGATAAAACTATTTCAGATGATGATAGCGGTTCCGATGAAAAAGAACTGAAAGAAGAAGAGGAAAGTTTATTCCAATTACTTCAACAGAGAGTTCAGTTTGTATTGCTTTCCTTGATCAAATTGTATAAGACGAAGAATTCAATGAATCCAAAGAAAGGGTACATATTTGTTGTGTATTCATTTTTTTATCTATACCATTAATATCTTTATTAACGTTTATTTATTTTTCAGAAATGAAAATCTCATTGACGTTTATAAAAAATGCTACTCTTTGACATTAAGATCTGGGGATATACCTCTAACTGATCTTATTAGATATCTGGACGAGAATCTAGAAAAAATTGCTAAAATTCTTGAAGATCATAAACTCTCTTCAAGGGGGTTTTCAAATGACTAAAAGACTGAAATAAAGTAATCATTCACAGGATGTTCCAAGATTTTTTCCAAGTTTATCGATTCTTTTAAATATTAAAGAAGTGCCAAAACCATCATGAATGATAAAAGTGATAGATTTCGAATGTGTTTTCTGTGATTTTTCTTGAATATTCCTATAAAAAGCCACCTAAATTTCTTAATATCGCATGTTTTGAATCTCGTTATAATTTTTCAAAAGAAATGTCAGTAAACGTTACCGAAAATGTATTTAAAACATTTCCCCTTTTTAAACTCCGGTAATGCTCTAAAAAGTATAGTATTTAATTTAAGAAATTTGAATGCCAGAAAATTAATTCACTCACAGTTACTCTTTATAATAGAAGACGACTTTTAATAACTAATAAATAAATATGTATTATTACGTACTTTTTTCAACTGTAGTTATTTTGCACATTGCTCGTGAATAAAAATAACGAATTTGTTACTCAGAAGATTTGTTACAGAATGTTAACACTTAAATATCCTGCAAGCCACCATTTAAAACTATTTATGTATACAATTTTTGAACTTGTTCATTGTTATATTTTGATACACAAAATTTGAATAGAATTCATGTTTTGAATAGAAACATGTTTCAAAATAATTTTTGCTGAGCAATTTATAACATGGTATAATATTCTTGTAAAATATGATGCTAATGATTGTATTTTTGTAAATAATCATTTTTAACTTTGTAAAATATGTGTAAAACAGAATAGAATTATTTCTCAAATAATGTGAAAATAAAATGTTACTTAATTATCATAATATTTAGATGAAAGTTTTTATTTATTCCTTTTACTAATTAACAAAATTACCGTTTATATAATTAATATTAGCGGAAACAACCAAACATTGAATTTATATAAAAGTATAAGGCTTAAAAATATTCAAAACATTAATGTCTAAAAAAATGAACAATTGTTTTCTAACGCAAATGGCGAAAGAAACTTTGAATATTCGTAAGTTTTCTAACCCTTTTGAAATAATGACACAGAATAAAAAAACTATTACTATCGAATTGTATGAATAATATAAACAGGATAAGAAGAAACAAAAGATTTATTTTCATGTATTTTTATTGCTATGTAATCTATTGATTGAGTTGTAAACAAATATTATTGTATAATGGTTGAATCGTATAACTGCATGATTTACAGGTTTCGCAAAGTTTATTCAAAAGTTACATTTTTACTTCTATGAAGTTACTTTGTGAAAATTTAATTTTTCGATAAAAATAACGAGGACAAATAATTGTATTATGAAGGAGTGAACTATTTATCAGCTGTACATCATATTATTATATTTGATTCAATATATGATAAAACGCGTTTTTAACATTTAACACTTAAACATAGAATAGTTTCATCTCACATTCTGTCTTTAATATAATATCCGTGACTATACAATGATTATTAATGATAAGACAAATATAAAATAAGTGTAACCCGAAATTGGTAATGATAAATTTTGTACTCTTATGCGGTTCCTGCCGCATACTCTTAACAACTATTTGCTGTATCTATGAATATAGAACAGATTTTTGTTTGACATAGAAAATCGTAGTATTTACATAAAATTCACGATTGTTTTTATCGGTACGTTCAACACTAAATATTTGTTATCTGATGAAAATTAACAAGCAATTTTTATAAAAGTATAATTCCTCTAACGAAAGAGAAGATGAGCACTGATGGAGGAAAAAATTAACTAAACTTTTTGAAATGAATTTTTTTGTATTGACATTGCGAGCTTGAAAGTGAATTTTTTCAGTGAACATCTAATTAATCTATACTGGTATCTCATTACCAAGTCAAAAATAAACTTTGAAATTTTCGGTAAATTTATATTTTACGTTAGTCTTCTAAATTATCTTTTCTATTTGCATAACGACTCGGTTTTTTAATAATCAAACTCTCATCAAACTTTCTTAGCACGGTAAGCAACTTTTTTCTAGGAACATGAATAATTTGCATAAACCAAGTTTTAGAATTGTAAGTATTTGTGTAACGTACGTAACGTAACTCAAGTTGAATTTTACTACATTATTTTTTTAGTTTGTTTTTATTTAACGCTAAAAAAAGGTATCTATACTATTTAACATTTATAACTTTTAGTGATATACAGATAAAATTTTTTTATATTTTAACATGCTTACATTGAGCTAGAGAGATAAAATTACCCTTGCGAAGTACACTAACAAGGAGACTACACCGGGTGTGGGTGGCGAAATTCAGGCAGATTCTTTGAAAAATTTTGAAACTCTTGTTCTTTGATGAAGATTTTTGAATAAAATAGAAAACTCTTCGAAAAGTGAGCCTCAAGGCCCATGGGATCAAACTAAGCATACTGAGCTTCATTACTAGGTAACAGGAAGTCACATAAACGTTTTGGTATGAATTGGTCACTTACACCTAGGATCTCCTCGTTTTAAGTGTCATTTTATTCGATAATGGCTTTGCATTTATTAATAAGAGAAACTGTTATTCAATTGAACGACATCCACTGTACATTTTGCATTATTGTACTTCAAAATTAAACATATTGATAAAATGACAATAAATAGTTCTTATGTATTATCACGATCATCGCACGGCTTATCGTGTTCTGACGATTGTCACTGGCCTATTCATATATTTTATGTGCCTGCCAAGGGCACAATTTTTATCGAGCTATATCGCACCGGGTAACATTTTCGAATAGCCTTGATTTATTTGCTCCGTCGACGGTTACATCGTTTGAAATTTGTCGACTTTCGCCACTGGCATGTTGTACACGCGCACCGTACAGAATTAATAATTACAAAAATTTATTAATTTTAGAGGACCCTTCTCGCTCATTATTGCCAACACGTTCATGAACATTTTTATACTTTGTAATTATGCTATTATCATATATACATTTTTTCGATATTGATGACATAATTACAAGGTTTAGTCGTATATTCTTCTGTTACATAATTTTTTATTAGGCCGATAAAAAATGTATTTACAATTTCTCCCGACGATTTATTCTTTCGTGACTCTAAGAAATTATTTTATGCGTAATGTTTACAAATTCATCTTAAAATAATAAATTGTTAATCGTTGCAAGTTATTTAGTAATTGATGATTTTGGTTATAAGCTCGGTATAGTGAAACTTCAAAATGATATTCATCTTTCGTAAGATTTATACCATAAACTCCCCGGTTTTTCAGATCCAACTTACGTTGAATAATCGTAATTAAGTTATTAACCTTTAGGGGGGCAGATTTTTAACAGCTCATTAGCTGCAGAGAAATGTGATCTGGGATCCTCGACTTTACTTTAAGTCTACAATCGTATTCCGGCCTTCGAAGGGTTGATAGTATAAAAAATATATTTCGAACCATCGTTGTCGATGGCAAAATATCATTAAATGTAATTATTAAAAGTGCAAACTAATTTTTATAATTGTTATGGTATAAATCAAATTGGAAGACCATAATGATGTGATTTTTCAGTGCTATGTATCGATTTTCCTTAACATATTTATTGATTGATGATTGCATTCGAGGAATTGTTTATGGTCAAATATCATGATATAATTATTATTATTATTTTTTTTTTAGACTTTTTTCGACATCGACTGAACACGTAGTTTGTACAACAGGTACGATTCAAGGATACACGTTGATGATTTTTTCATTATAGAGTCGTTCTCCGTTTGAATTGTCAAATTTACCATATAATCTAGTATTATTATTGATGATTCTCAAAAGTACTGAAAAGCTTACAGTCGCGTGATATATTTTGTCGTCGGCTCCGAAGACGTGTCGATATGCATTATCTCGCTGGCCCACAGAAGAAAAGTTGCTGCTGCTGCAGGTCGAGCAAAGCACCTACCTGAGAGTCAGCGACTCGACCGAGAGCGAGACCGAGGTGGATTGTCTGTAGGCCGCGGCTGCCGCAGCCATAGCGGCTGGTGTGCTCGGCACCTCCTCGATGCGCTCGAGGTCGTTGGCGGCCCCGGCGCTGTTCTGCTTGAACAGCCTCGGAGTCTGTCGACTGTGCAGAGGATCGCTGCTGGAACAGCTCGCCACGGCTGCGCCGCTCCCGGCCTGCTGCTGCAGGCCACTGGTGCTGGGCTGGTCGTCGGCACGGTCCAGACTGAACTGGCGCCTCAGCAGACGGCAGCTGGCCGGGCGCTGCTGGTGGCCTGCGGCGATATTGCTCTCAATGTCGAGCGATTTGAAACGCGACCTGGCGAGGCCGCCGCGACGCGCCATCATCGCAGCCGAGGTCAAGTGGTGCATGCTGCCGAACTTGTCCAGGCTCATGGACGGCTCGAACGATGCCTTATTGCCTGCACGTTGTGAGCGGCGGCGACGACGACGACGTGTTGGTGCGCGCGCGCGCGATCGCGATCGCGTGTAGCCGTTGTTTTTGTACAGTTGTTTGTAGTTGTAAGTGGTGTTGTTGTCGATTTTAACCATGATGATTTCGGTGCATTTTATGACGATGCAGTGGCAAAGTGCACACATGGTGATGGGCGGCAGAAAGAAAACAGAAATGAAATTTGAGATTACATGTTCAACGTGTTTAAATGTTTGATATTTCGAGATTTAATACGAAAAAGCCCTTGATTAGCGCAAAAAAATTTTAATCTCCATTGAGACGAAGCATTATTGCACAATAAGCGCCGTTATGCGTAACAGAAAAAAAATAAATAAAAGGAATAAATTAAAGGATATGAAAGTTGATGCGAATATCATATGGACATTTTTGTTTAGAATATTATATGTATGTAGATATCGAAATTGAAACGCATCGCGTTGAAGTCGACATAAAGCATACGCGGAGAAATATAATATTTTGGCAAGCTACAAATATTGCACTCGACTCATGAAATATGTTTTAATTTTGAACTACGCGTGGAGGTTGCATAAAAAATTCCTGGATTACACTACAAAAGTCATGCTCGAGACGATGAAACAGAATTTTAGGATTCAAATAACGAAATTGTGCTTTTTTGTCCCTTGAATCTTTTTTGGACTTGGGTTTTATCATGTGATTCGCGCAATTTTTCGAAAAATCGAATCAGTGCACGAACACGACTTTACCCTCCACTCCACGAATTAGAAACATTTGTGGATCGTGCAGATAATAATATAAAAACTTACCATAATGCTCATTGGGCGATAGACACCGATATCGATTGTAAGGTGTGCTGAGATCGTCCTCGTCGATGACTCCGACGCGACAGGGACGAGTTCGGTAGACCGAGCTCGATACCGAATTTATCGAGGTTGTGGAGGCGCCAAGAAGTGCGGCCGCCACCTCCGTGGCCGACACTGGAGTACCTACGTTGCCGAGATCGTAAATTATTTGTGTGCAACTGGTTTTTACGTATGTTTTTAAATTTAAACTTTTGAATTCAATAGATTTTGCACTGAGAAACTTTCAACATAAAAATTATAGTTACTATGCTACAAATTATAGTTCACTATGTTCCATCGTACAATGGTGTTTCACATTTTTCCTTCCTTAATAGTGTATCATTAAAATATAAAAATGTTACATTGCACTAAGAACTGAGCATAGAGCTGTTCTCGTTTTGTTGTTTATACTTTTTCAGTCTTGAGTCGTTGAAGTAAAGTGAATGAAATAGGCGAACCTCAGACTTACTACTGAATACAAAATACTTTTATTAAATAAGAACGCGAATTTACAAAGAGCTCGTACGAGCAACAAAGTCAACTTGTGACGTCCTCGTAGCCACACCTCGTAGCCACAGAAAGGATTTGTCATGCTGCCCCCTATTTAAACTTTTGACAAAATTATTTAATTTAATATATTATTTATTGGTGTTTGTAAATCATGTTCACATCATTTATAATTATTTGATTTCAAATTGATTTTGAATAAATTATGAAGTTTCCTTCAATAACTCTTTTAGGATTGAAATTTTTTTAGTGTGTTGTAGTACAGCTCGTATTTGCATGATAACTACACACGAGTAAAGATTGAATATTTTTATAACATTTACGTTTCGTGAATGTGTCAAAATGCAGCACCACGAATATCACATTTAAATTTTTTATTTATATTAAAATTCATATGGTTTATTAGCATCATGTTGCCAAAGTTCTGAACATCAAGGTAATACTGACTTTAAATATTAATCAAATACAAACAATTATATTAGAATTAAGGTAATATATTAGAATAACAATCGAATCTTGTTTTGATAAATTTCAAAAAAAAATTCACAATCGATATTTTATTTCACATTTGTTACGTATATAAAAAGAAATCCTAAAATAGTAGCTACAGAAAAAAATTGGTCAGTCACGTATAGAGACATCGATTTTGAAAACTCATCAGAAAAAACATTCAAAGAAACTTTGGATAAAATAAGTGATGAACCCTTAATAATAGGAGTTAAATTATAACTTAGAAAGGCTTCAGTTACTGAAAAAAATCAGAATAAAGCTTCTAAAGTTAACATTAAGGTGATGCCTTGGCCACAATTTTTACCGACCGAGCACAGAAAATGTATATTTTCGTAACTTTTTTTCCAGGCTGATTTTCGAAAAATGGCTCTGTGGAGCCCTCCGTATTGTTGCTGTGAACAACTGCGACAAATTTCAGTCAATTTCATCGGATAGTTTTCTCGGAAAACAGGATCAAAATTTTTTATCCTGCAAACAGTAATCAAAAATTTCGATTCTGTTTTCCGGAAAAACTACCCTATGAAATTGGCTGAAATTTGGTGCAGTTATTCACAGCTACAATACGGAGGGCTCCACAGAGCCGTTTTTCAAAAATCGGTCTAGTAAAAAAGTTATTTCAATTTACATTTTTAATGCTCGGTGGGTCAAAATTGAGGCTTCGGCATCACCTTAAGCTAGAAGCAATGAGTGAAAATGATCAAATTAAAGCTAATGAACGCCAATCAAGTCCAATTGATACACACTCATCATTATCCAAAAAAGTCAAACAAGAAAATAATAATCAAGTTACAAGTGATGAAAATTAAAAAACTCGAATTAAAAAATTCCAATCATGAGCTTTCCTCGGTCTATTTAATGCACACACTCGATAAACTCATTCGCGTGAACTACACTTTCACTCTGTGCCATCTAGCAGCGACACGGCTCACTACAATGCACACATCAATGTTGATCAAGTCACAAGTGATGAAAATGCAAGAGACACTAGAATAAGTACCGATACTGAACAAATTGGAAATAAAAACGCCAATCAAATTCAATTGATGCAGACTCACCATTATCTAAAAAAGTCAATCAAGAAAGTGATACAAACACAATTGGTTTACAGATTACAGATAAGTACAAATATGTGCATAGACGTGGAATCATTGTAAAAATTAATACAAAAAAACATGGAAATGAATATTACCATTCAGAAGGCATTGTCATTGAAGAAACAAACAGTGACTATTTGTATTGCAAAGTAAGACTTCAATCTCCAATGCAAGTAGAAGCATCTATTATCATTGTAAAAGAATTAGATCAGGAGTATGTCATTCCTAAAATTGGTGAGAGTGTTATGGTTTTGTGGGGACATTTTTCAAAAATAGGTATCCTTGTAGTCATTAGACAACGTGTATGGGGTCCGATTGAATGATCTTAGAATTTGGAAAATGTGTGATGGAAAAATTTGCAAATATGTTGGAGAATATTGATATTGTCACAAGTATGTAATTATTTCATCATAATTGTTTGTATTTAATTAATATTTAAAGTCAGTGATGCCTTGATGTTGAAAATTTTGAAAACGAACAAATAAATCATATAATTTTAAACATAACATAAATAAAACATTTAAACGTTATATTCATGGTGCTATATTTGGATGCATAAGTTATGAAACATAAGATTCAATCTTTACTCGGGTGTAGTTGTCATGCAATAAGTCATCCACATTGATCGGTGCATACAATTATCACAAATACATGTTACGTTGTATGTGTAAGGTCATTTTTCCAAAAATCTAATTTTAAAATCCACATTGATTTGGCGCATTGCTCATGTATATTTTTTATCATGCTTATATCTGCAAGATTAATTGAAGCATTTCAACTCACAATATTTCCACATAAGTTACTTCAAAATTGTCTCAATAATTAAAAATAATGTAAGTTTAAAAAAAATAAATAAATTTTTAGAAGAAAATGAAGAACATTATTAATTTTGAACTATTCCTCGAATCATCAATTTTTTTATACTTTTTACTTTTGGGCGTGCAATTCGCTTTTCCTAAATTCTCGGTGCCTCAATGTTTCGCGCCTCATTACAAATGTCCAGAGTAACACTGCATTGCTTTAAAATTGTTTACTCGTATTTAGCATAATATATACATTTTTTTTTATAAAGCTAGGGCTCGTCAAAATAGTAAACTTTACGGGGAGGACTAAAATTTTCATTTTTGACACGAAAGTCTCTCAGTGCACATGGCATAGTAGAAACGTGAACGGAGTAAGGAAGGAAGCCGGGCCAGTTGGAAAAACTCACCGAGCATCATGGGATTGTCGCTGGAGGTGCTCTTGGTAACGTTCGCGCTCGCGTAATCGGGCGTGGAGAAGCTCTGACCGAGGCTGGGCTTGCCTCCAGCACCGGCGCCGCCGCCGCCGTCGTCGCCGGCTGCTCCGCCGTGCACAGAGACGGTCACTCGTCTACTCACGCCGCTGCTCGTGCTGGCCTTGTCGACGCTCGACTGCTCGCTGTGGGCGAACTTGTAGGCGGCGGGCGAGACTCGGTCGGTCTGATCTCGAGCTACACCAGTGGCACTCGGACCAGCACCGGTCGTAGTTGGTAACGACACGGCGGCAGCGGCTCCGCTACTGCTGCAGTCGGCCGAGCTGTCGTCGTCCTGCGACGTGGCCTGCAAATGCTGTTGATCCATCGAGGTCAGTTGAGCCGGTAGACTCGAGGTAGACGAGTCGCCGCGTTGGGTCATGCTGCGTTGTCGCGGAGTCATGGCGTCCGTAGCCGTCTCTTCGTCCGGCGAGCACTGCATATTCTCCAGTATCTCGATCTCGTCGAGCCTAAACGCGTTAAATAAAACATCACGATGATTGAGTTTGAATCGCGCACGTTGAAACAGAAACGATTACGAAGAAAAATAGTGGAAAAATATCCTGAGAACGGTCTCGAGAGCTTACCCATGGTTTTCTCTGGCGGCGTGCAATAGACAAAATTAAACGTTAGTAAACGCCTATGAGCAATAAAAAGAAAGCATTTGTATACTAATATAAGGCAATCGTTCATATCAATCCGAATAAAGCTCACCCCAGAGGCGGCGGCACGGGCAGCTCCTTGTCGAAGTCCTGCTTGCCCAGCAGCCAGTAGGTCGGCATCGAGCCCTTGCCCTTGACCTCGGTGCGGCCGCGATACTCGATTATGTAGCCACCGACCTGGGCCAGTCGGTCGCGCGTCGCCTGGCTCATGTGGATGCGCCACGGGGCGCCCGTGGACTCCATGCGCGAGGCCGTGTTGACGGTGTCGCCGAAGAGGCAGTAGCGCGGCATGGTCAGGCCCACGACGCCGGCGCAGCAGGGCCCCGTGTGCAGGCCGATGCGCAGCCTCAGCCGCGTCTTGGGCAGATGGCGCAGCTTGAACTTGCCGCTCTGGTGCAGCAGGTCCAGCGCCATCGTCGCGATCTGATTGGCGTGGTCGGGTATTCTCACCGGGCAGCCGCCCACGACCATGTAGGCGTCACCGATCGTCTCCACCTAGGCATTCGGGACCAAACAATGATCGTGTTGCTTATCGGTAGAAAAATCAAAAATCATTTTTTTAACTTTATTCATTTTAATAATATGTGTAAAATTAACATCGCACATTGAAAAATATGACGAAAATGTCTTATTGCCATCACGAATTTTGGACTGTAACTGCCAAGCATGTATTCCGTATATATCTTCATGATAATCAGCTTCCCGTTGATTATTTCACAGAAGGGAATCGATAGCCTGCAGCGAGATCCTTGGATAGTTTCTCGCATATAAATGCACACCTCTTCGTGCTTTTCGCGGAGCTTTTCGACTTGTTTCGAGGGCGCTATTTCGAAATTCCACTCGGGGTAAAAAAAAAAAAGATAAAATTCATTACTGCGTGTCTGCGTACCTTGTAAACGTTGTAGGCGTTGATGGTGTCGTCGAAACACGTGTACAGATCGTTGAGCAAATCGACCACTTGGAACGGCGTCGAGTACGCCGAAATCGTGGTGAAGCCGACGATGTCGGAAAAATAAATCGTCACCTCGTCGAATTCCTCGGGATCGACTGGCATGCCGAGCTTCAATTTCTCCGCCACCGAACTGTCAATCATCATGTGTAATATTACATATGCGTACTCCATAAGTACATGGAATCGAGGTCAATCGAAACAAATGTAGCGCAGGTACACATACGGGTAAACAAGGTCAGTTATTAGCGCTTAAAAGCCAAGCTATTTGTGCATCGTTTAAAACATCAATATTCAAGGGGGCCAGTATTTAGAGTCGGTGTACGCGTTACGTGGATCGGATTTATATGCATAGTGCCGCGAGATCAACGTGAAATATTGAGCAGTACACGCGTGGCGCGCAAATGGAAAACGCGTACTACACACGGGACGTTTTTTGTATGTGTATCTCTGGCAGGGCACACACGTACCTCGGCAGCATGCGATTCAGTAATTGTTCGGTTTTCTTTTTTTCCATGTCCAGCTGTTCGGTGCGCTCCCGTATGAGCTCCTCCAAATTGTTGGAGTACTTCTCCAGCATTTGAAACATCGTGTCGACGAAATTGACTTTTCTGCAACAACAACAATAGCAATAACAGGTAAATAAAAGTTGACGTACTGCTGTAAAAACTCGCCAGTATTTTTGTGCAATTTCAAAGTCGTAATTAATACTGCGGCATTACGTATGTGCAGCATGATAATACGGTATCCGATCAAACGCAGGCCGCAGTTCGCGTCTCGTGTCGTCCTATATACGTACCTCTCATCAAAATCAACTTAAAGGCAAGTTCCGTTGTCTGATTATGCAACAAAGTGGGGATGGTTGTATAAGAGAAAACCGCCAAAATCCATTAACAAAAGGATGAGACTTAGTTCTCGCGCGGGGGTATGTCTTTAGGTCGATTTCCTACGGGAGGGAGAGAGAGAGAGAGAGAGAGAGAGAGGATTATCTCGATGGGAGCCGCTCGACACAAAAGCAGCTTCTGCTGCAGCTACTCCGCCGAAGCACAGCTCGAGGCTTACATAATATGCCAGGCAGCAACCCCCCCGCCCCCGCGCGTATGCCTCTCGCCCCCTCCGTGTGTAGGGTTTACGCTCGCGCAATTAATGCGGATGTAAATATCTACTCGAGTGCCTTTACCGTACGTGCACGGGAGGGACTCTACCAAGTTTATGTATACATATAACGTAAAAGCCTCGATGATGCTGCGTGCAGCTGTAGCAGCATCGACCGACGCACGCGTCAGCCACGAAGCGGCAATTTCCCAGCGTCTTTTCGCGGATATAATTCCTTGGCCTCGACGACGGCGGACGGAGCGTAAGGAAAATGCAATTATTCGAGCTCGCTCGCCAACCTCGATGATTTTCATTAGTTCACGTTCGCGGTTTGCCTCGATGTAAGTTGCGAGTTTGGTGCATTTTTTTTCGTTTCAGGCTGAGTGATTGTTGATCGATCCGTTCGTGCATCTCAATTATTTCAAAGCCGATTGGATGTGCTTTTAAAGTTCAAGTTTGACCAATTGGTTCTTTACTTTCGCTCGGAGCGCAATTATTACACGACTATAACCGCAAGGCACGAAGCCCACTACAATACACGATAAAAATCCCTTTTTTTTTTTTTTTAGTGAAACGCGTACATACGTCATACTTCGCGCTGAGGTATATCAAGTTCGGACGTACGAGAGCCAATTATATATGGACTTTATATATTCATCCGGTGTACGTCATGTGCGTGGAAGACTCCGACGTTGAAATGGACATAAAACGTCGAGAATTACCCCGAGTTAACGCACGAACAATTAGAATATATGAGTACATTCGCACGTGTTTCCCCGCGCGAATAATCGTTTTCACCGAGCAAAATTGCCAAGATCGACGCGCGAGAACATTGGACGAAATTCAGACGACTGCAGTGGTACACAAACTAAGAAATTTCGTCGACTCGAGCGCGTAATCCGATTTTAATTGCTCGGCATCCATAACTTTTCAAGCACAAAAATGCATATTCATTGCAGCAGCGGCGGTAGCGGCAGCACGCGCGCCAGCGATTGAAAGCTGCACGAGTTACGGTGTAGTACCTACTGCTATATAGGTATAGGAGTTTTTCCTTTTTCTCTTTGCCCCGGCGCGCGTATACGCGTCCAAGGGGTGTGCAGAAAACGCGATTGGATTTATTCATAGAAAAAAGGGGGGAAAAAAGAAGGAAGAAAAAGAAGAAGAAGAAGAAGGAAAAATGAATTTAGCGGCCAAGCGTGTGTACTAGTATGACCCACCTGCCATGATTGAGTTTCTTGAAGAGGTCGTGGACGGCGTTGAAATCCGGTCGCATGTCGGCATTTTCCGCCCAGCATTGGCGCATGATATTGATGGCTTCGGGCGGTGCCGCGCCTTTGCTCACCGACGGTCTTATCAGGGGCGGCGGTTTCTTCACCTTCTCTATGATGTCTGCAGCAGCAACGAGGACGAGAGAGAGAGAGAGAAATCATTTTCGTGTGGCGTAATACATTTTTCTTTTTTTAATCGAAAAAATATTCGTACAAAAATGCGAAATTTCAGGATAAAAAATTAATCCTCGAAACTGCGCGAAATGAATTAGTAATTGGAATAATTGTTAATTTCGCGTCCACACTATGAACACAAAGCACTCGATACGAGCCAACTAATCCCGCGCAACCGAAGTGATTATCACGAGCTCGGAGTCATATAAGAATGCATTATTCAAATCAATCGATTTAGTCGATCGCGAAACAATGAAAATCCTCAGTACTCTAGATTGAGTCGTGTGTCGGATCGGATTCGATCGAGAAATAAGCCTCGAACGTATCTCTCTCGTCGGTTCAACGCGATACACGACGCAGCTGTGCGACAGGCCACTCTCGTCGGTATATCATATATTCTACACACAAAATGAGCTCCAAGGTATTGCCACTCCGTTATACTCCGTACTCTGTGTATACGTGGGGCGAAGAGGAAATTAACGCGCCGGGCAACGAAGCGCATTTCTATACGAGTATGTGTACGTACCTTCGGGTGAAAGGGCGAGCATGCAAAAGGGCTCGCCGCGCACCACGACCTCCTGCATGATGATGCCGAAGCTGTAGACGTCTCCGGGCTGGCTGCCGCGTTTCCGCAGCCCGGCTTGCCTCAGTAATTCCGGCGCTGTCCATAATAGGTCTGCAACGACAACGGCACGCGCATACACACGCACACACACACACGAGCTGGTCTAATTATTGTTTCGTATTATAAACATAGAAGCAGCTGTCGCCAGCAGCACACCCCCATCCCCCCATTACCTTTAAGCACGATATACAAATTGCGCTTGATGCGTCTTTCATTGCGCGACGTATAAAAGTACAATTTGTAATTATTCATATATGTACGAGATGAAGCTCACCTCGGTTCGTTTTGGGCGGGGGCTGCATGTTTTGCGCCTCGTAGAAGGCAGGCAGCCCGTAGTCCGTGACTTTGAGCACCCAGCGTGCGTCGATCACGCAGTTCCTCGACGTCAGGTAGCCGTGCACGCGTATCGGCGTGCTGTGCAGATACTTCATTCCCTGTACCACACATATGTATTATAATAATCTCGCAATCTGCACGAGCTATTGTTGTAATAATGCCTGTACGATCGGCTCGTACGTTAGTGTACAAAATGAGCCGCGCGCGACTATCTCTCTCTCCGTCTGTCGCGTGCGCCCACTAAACAGCACTAATTGCAAGCCAATATTCACGCACCGAGTAGCAATTATTTGGCCTATAGTGTGCGCAGCGAGAGAGAGAGAGAAGCAGCAGCGCTTAGATATATACGTATATATATAAGTGCATGCCTCGGAAACAATCACAATCTATCCTCGTCGCGAGGTGCACTTTGGCGTACATAGCATACGTATATATACATAGTAGTAGTGGTGGTGGTACAATACAGGATAGCACTCACCCGAACGAGATCAGTGAGCAGCGAGAGGCGAAAAGACCAATCGAGCTTAATTTCGTCCTGTACCAGCACGTCCTCCAAGGAGCCCCTCGAGCAGTATTCGTAGACGAGGCAAGGCCGGCTCGGCTCGGTCAAGCAGCCTATCAGGGCGTTCAGGTTCTCGTGACGCAGACCGTGAATCTGTGTACACACAAACACACAAGCCGAGACAATTGACAGTCAGCGAGAGAGAGAGAATAAGAAAATATCTTGGCTATTTCGGCTTATATAGCTTACCATCACGAGGACGTCCATTGCCTTGCTTTTGAGCTCGAAAGCGCCTTGAGACGGTAGCTGCTTCAGTTGGACGAGATCGCCCTGCAAATGTTGTTGCCGCGGCGCATTATTATAAAGTTGCGACAATATAACGAACCGCGGAATAATAAGCATCGTTATTCGATGAAATATCCGCGCCGCTTCTCTTTCTTTCTCTATCGTGTAACTTTTGCCGGAAATTTACGTAATAAAAAGACTCGGACTTTGGAACGCCGTGAGAGAGAGAGAAAAAAAAAGGCTCGGGCCGAAACGAACGAGTCGAGAGTTTTATTTCGTGCGCCTCCGCCTCTATGTACCGGCCCCCGTCGTTGTTCCAGCAAAACGTTATTTTTCTTTATCCTATTTCTCGCTCTCTATCTCTCTATTTCACCAATGAATTCGATGCAATCAACTAGCGAAACGATTTTCTCTCGCTTCGTCGAAGCATAATAAATCTAGCTCTCTCTCTCTCCCTGGATGCACGTGCGCGATATAGTCTTTGAAGAGGAATTTTTCGCGTTTCGTGAACATTTTCCGCTCGTAAAGATTATTTTACATAAAAGCGCACGTATGCGTCGAACGTCACGCAGGGAAATAATTTTTTTTTTCTTTTTTGCTTCAGCTTCAGCTTCGGCTTTTCTGCCTCTCGTAATTCATCAATTTCCAAGGCGCCGCGCAGCCTCGGGGCGAGCGCCCTGAACGATCGGTCGGATTCGACGAAATACATACGATGTATCTATCTATAGATACACGTGATGTAGCTGTGCACGCGCGCGGACAACCGCACAAGTATAATACGGAACTGCAGTAGTAACTACACGGCGGAGGGAAAAGTTCCGCAAATGACACACTGCGCCGCGCTATATGTAGTTCGAGAATTGCCGGCTTCGTCGCTTCGTGCTCCGGCTGCTGCTGTACACCTCCTCGACAAATCTGCGGTAATGGGAATGTGGATAATGCGGTGTATGTATACGGTTTAAAACTCGCACCTCCGGGCTGTGCGACGCGTGTAATGATCGCGAGATTGAGCTTGTGCAGGGAAACGATTTTTGAAGATAGCTTCGAATGGATATTGTGACAATTAATTGGCGCGCAAAACTTTTAACGTCGTTATCTCGTCGTTCTCAATCGAGAAGGGATTTATCCGACTTTTATAGATTTGGGGATTATAGATAAATCACGTACATTGTCGTCTTTTATTGTCAAATAAATTTAAATCAAACTCATCGAAGAAACAAAAGATAAGCAACTCATGGAGTAATTGCTTCCTCTATGTGAGTGATTATGCAGAGCATTATCTGTTCGCGAGTTACTGTAAAAAAATTACACCAATAAAATTGTTTCGATAGTTAAACATTAAATCGTGCGTTTGGATGAATCAAGTTTTCATTGCAATTTTTGGAGTAGTTGAAGTGACGTACATCGCAATTTGTAACTGCGCGCGGCCAATCTACAGTAGAGGGGGAAAATTTCGCCAAGAAGCTATCCCAATAGCGGGGTCACTTCGCGAGTAGTGCGTATATAGTCGCTGGTGAGGGATCCCTCGATGAGCGAGTGTTTCCAAATAATATCGATGCATTAGTGTATGTTTCCACCTACGGTTACAGTTTTGGCTCCTCGAGACAAATAACCTCAAATATATTCTTAGTGTACATCGTGAAAATTTACAGTTGACACTCATAATCAAGCAAGTGATGGAAAATAGAGAGGATGTAATTAGGTATAATTTTTTGTCCGTAGTACTGCTATAATTTTTTTAAACTTGATTATATTCTTCAGGGTGAAAGAAGAATTTAACGATACCTGTACGAACGCAGGTAACGATAATGTTTTCAGTTCGGTCAACTCTTGCAAAGTGGAAAACTCTGAAATATTGCCGTATCAAGAATTATCGGTGAGTTCAATCGTATGAATTATGTATGGTTTGTTCATAATCGACAACTATAACTCCATTTTAATTTTAGGTAAATCAGCTGAGTGAAGCTGTAGCTGTACAGGAAAATTTGGATGAAAAAATATCGATAGATTTTCAGTGCAAAGATTTTAAATCGGAACTGAGTTCTTTATCAACAAACTCGTGCAAATCTGAGTATCGAAGTTGTCTACCTGTCTTGAAAGTAGAAAATGGAAATCAGAACAACGATATAATTGAAAAAATTTTCGTAGATTTTGAGTGTAAGGTTGAGCGCCTACCTGAACTGAAGCCTTTATCAAAAACCACCTGCCAAACTGAGTATCAAAGTTATCCGCCATTTGTGAAAGTAGAAGATCCAATTCAAGCCAAATACTTGAATGGTAAAAATCTAATAATTTTGGTAAAAAAAGATTTCGATTACAATAATAACTGCCGATTTAAAAAAAAGTCGAGATTTAAGCTTAATAAACATACTAATACAGTACGTAAGAGCATAAGGCCGTATAAATGTGCAATTTGCCATAAATCATTTGATTATCCAAGCTACCTCAAACGTCATGTTAATGCAGTACATGATCGGAGCCAATCGTTCGAATGTGAGATTTGTCTTAAATCATTTAGACAAAAAAGTAACCTCACTACACATGTAAATACAGTACATAAACTTAATAAACCCTTTGAATGTGAGATTTGTCACAAGAAATTTAGTCGCAAGGGTGACCTCAAAACTAACATTAATTCGGTACATGTTCGGAGCAAACCCTTCGAGTGCGATTCTTGTCAAAAGTCATATGGCCGCAAAGATGTCCTCAAGTTCCATATAAAGACAGTACACGATCGGAGCAAACGCTTCGAATGTGAGATTTGTCACAAATCATTTGGACAAAAAGGTAATCTCAAAATGCACATCAATGCAACACATAAACGTAGTAAACCTTTTGAGTGTGACATTTGTCACAAATCATTTGGACAAAAACACCATATCAAAAACCACAAAAATGCAGTACATGATCGTAACAAACCCTTCGAATGTGAGATTTGTCACAATACATATGGCCGCAAAGGTGTCCTCAATTCCCACATAAAAACAGTTCATAATCGAATGAAATCCTTCGAATGTGATATTTGTCACCATTCATATGGCCGCAAAGATGTCCTCAAGTTCCACATAAAGACAGTACATGATCGGAGCAAACGCTTCGAATGTGAGATTTGTCACAAATCATTTGGACAAAAAACGAATCTCAAATCTCACATTGATATAGTACATAATCGAAGCAAACCCTTTGAATGTGATATTTGTCAGAAATCATTTGGATAAAAAGGTCACCTCAAGTCCCACATAAATGCAGTACATAATCGGAGCAAACCCTTCGATTGTAAGACTTGTCACAAATCATTTGGAGAAAAAAGTAACTTAAATAAGTACATAAGTGCAGTTCATAATCAAAGCAAACCCTTCGAGTGCGAGATTCGTCAGAAATCATTTGGACTAAAAAGTAACCTCAATCTTCACATCAATACAATGCATAATAGTAGCAAACCATTTGAATGTGAGATTTGTCATAAATCATTTGGATTCAAGAGTCATCTTAAACGTCACATCAGTGTAATACACGATCGTACTACTTTGAATGTGACATTTGTTTCAAGTCATACAGCTACAAGTATTACCTGAAAGTTCATATGAATGCAGTACATAATCAAAGCGAATCCTGAGAGCGCAAGATTGGTTTCAAGACATTTTGATGCTAAGAAGACTTTTGCAATCACTAGAGTACGCTACGTAATTTAAAAATATCAGTTATATAAATATCTTTGTAAAGAACAATAAAATATTTCAAATTTTCATTAATTTTTTCATCAGTGAAAACCCTACTCACTTTACTTACATTCATTAAAATATAAACGTAGTACCTTCTGCACATCGGTACGTTAGTCAAGAAATCCTTGCCTTAAAGCAATAAATATTCCTATACTCAGCACACTGATCTCTTGAGCTGATTTCCATATAAGCAGAAAACTCAACATCGTGAATGACGAACAAAGCTCTTTGAGTATAGTGATAATTCAGTTCGTCCAGTATAAAAATTGTTCATCCAATGATCGAAAGACATTATTTCACTATGATTGCTCGACCTCGAAGTACTGCGATAGGTAAGTCTGGTACACTCCTGCGCAGCATATAAATTCCAACCATATGCAGCCGATTCTCTGTGAATTTTAATGGCCAAAAATTCTTCTTTTCGCCGCACGTTTCGGGATCTTTCATCGTCTTGTTTCAAAGGTCCGAAATAGTTTTTAGAATAGTTTGGAAGTGAAAACTTTACGAATAATAACATTTTAAAAGTGTATTGCGTATTGGCAGCGGTTTTACTTATCGGTTACGTATGTAAAGTAAAAGTGCCAATCTGATAATCGTTAAAAAGCAAGCACGACCGGGTTGGAAACAAAGTTTTGTGCAAATTGAATAATTTATAAAAAAGTAATAAAATATTTGATTGAAGTTGTCGACGGCTTTTCATCGCGAGTAAGCTTTACGACTGATCATTATTCTTTGTTAGTCCAGCAATAAAAAGAAATATTGCAATCACGTTTCTTTACCATCGTAAAGTTTACATCGTACCATTTATGGCAACTTCATTTTGATAATTGATTCTCATTAAACTGCTGACACTTATAAACTATAAGAAAAAAGAAACCAACAAATTCGGTGTACAAAAAAGTTGTTTACGATGCAAATGCATTTATCTTTGGAAAAAATGCATTAACTTCCTCAAATGCGGCGATAGAATGAATAGTAAGGAGCGTGAATTTTCTCAAAAAGATCGGTAAAGTTAAGTTTGGTTAAACAATTGACACGGGATACACTTATCTTGAAATAGTTTCTATTTTTACTGCGGATAAAAGATTACTCTTGTTTTAAATTGGTTCTTTGTTGCTGTACAGCCGAGGATTAACGTCAATGTTACCTCGAGCTTCTGGGTTGTACGCGCAACACAGTTCAAGTGTTTACGACAATATACAAGGCGGGAAAGCACGAGAGAGAGAGAGGGAGAGAGATAGAACACAAATGTAGACGAAAGCAATAATTTTCCGTTTATTTATTATCGATTATCGAATCAAGACGACGAATGCGTCCTCGAGGCGGCTAACTGTTAAAGCCCTGAGCAAGCTCTCTATAAATCCTTTCTCCCATTTCTGCATACACGTATACAGCAGTCGCGAAGTATACTGCACCAGCGAGCGCTAAGTCTTTGACCCGGGCAATATAAGCGCCGCGACCCTTTGTCCGACTCGGCAGCACCCCGGGACAAATGTTTCGATTCACTTTCAGCGATTCTCAATTGCCCGCGGACGAATTCACAAAGACACGGTCCGAACGCGGCTCGTCATTTCAATATATGTACAAACGTTTTGGAGAAATGAAATTTACCCGTGACTTTTCCACGACGATATGAACACGTACATCTTTCTAATCTTTATCTCGACGTCCTTAATGTTTTCAAAAAAATTGTTGAGCGATTTGCAATCGTAGCGAAACTTACGTTGTATCGTGCTCGTGGATCATTGAACAAGTGACGCGCCAGGCTGCCGTTGCTGGCTTGCAAATGTGGCCTCAGCGAACCCACGCTGCCCTGCAGCAGATCCGGTTTTTCTACCTCCGGACCACCGAATTCCTGCAGCTGTTGCAACCAACAACACAGCATGGCTTCGATGCCCTCGTCGACCTGTCAATGTGTAAGGTACATTCTTTTTTATCGTATTCGTGCAAATGCACGATATCGAGACGAGTCTTGAGTGTAGCGATGTGGCAGTAAAGTTAAATTACTCATAAGCTCGTCTGAAGTACAAAATATACATGTTAAAGTGTGAAAGCTTTATGAAGTAGCAAACAACTCGATATTGCTTTCTCGAATTACTTATGCATACAAGTACAAGCTTGTAAGTCTTTAAATTCAATGAATATTAAAATGAATTTATGCCAAGAAACTGGAAAAAAAACGAGAGACGATGGAGGTCGACACTTACTCGTCTGTGATCAGGAATTTGCGGAAAAACAAAATCCGTCGCCGTTAAAATTATTTTATAGGGTCCCTTGGACATGCGCTTTTTCAACAAGTGTCTTCTATAAAAAAGATTTCATCGTTCGTTATTATTCATGAATATTGCATAAACGGGTAGAAAAATTATGCTTTTCATTTTTACCTAATAAGAGCAGCGGTGAGAATGGCCGTTAATGCGAAAAGCAATGAGCCCAAAATTATTGCTACGATATGTGCTGTGTGTAGAGGTATTTCTATTTTATCTGTATAAAAAAGTTTTAATTATTTTCAATATATCGCAATAATTAATAAAACATTAAACGTAATTCAATGATTTTCTTGACAAATGCATATAAATTTTTTTAGTCGTCGATCAATAGATATTTTAAAAAAATTATTAAATGAGAACTTGCTACATTGTATCAGTTTTTGGTATTTGACATAGAATAAAAATCAACCAATTAGTATAGAGAGCAAAATAGTCAACTATATCCATTTATCTCAATCCAATAATCAGAATTGGCAATTTTTTTATCATACCTGTACAGTCGGATTGATCGTTGCACAGCAAGTCGAAATTCTCTTCGTCGATAAATGAATTTCTGGCTAGTTCTCGCAACACCAGTATAGGCGTGTTTGAATTCTCCGTGATAATGACTAATGGTCGCCACTCGGCCGGCGTCTCAAACGACGACGACGACGACGACGACTCATAACTCAACAATCCGTACGCGTACATTTTGTTGTTGTAACTGTTCAACGATTGACGGCTACTAATGTTTTCATAGTCGGTTTCCAGGATGACATCCAGCGCCTCGCGCACATGATCCAACGTCAAGAGAGGTTTGTAAGACGACGTTCCATTTAGTAACCGTTGTAAATTGTATCTGAACAAACGAATTATAAAATATATATATTTTATATTTATTCGAATAAATTTATTCGAATAAACAATCGACTTTACTATTCGAATACAAGCATAAGTCTGAAAAAATGTATACAAAGCACATGCACATTTATTTGAAAAATAACGCGTAAAACATCTAATGGCAATTTAAAGCTCGAATAAACCAAACTCGGAAAGATGCAATGCATTTCCGTTTGTAGCATATGAGAAAAGGATCGCCTATAAATCCTTCGAGTCTAATAGTTCGACGCGCGCATGTAAGCCGTGAATAATATACCTCTGGGCAGTTGGGAGAAATCGAGATTCAGGAAAGACGTACACGACAGATCCATTTGGGAAATGCTTTCTTGACTTGCGTACAACATGTACGGCGCATCTATAGATGTACGTACACGAGGGTCTAGTCTGTCTCGTTGATCACAGAGAGAGAGATAGAGCGAGAGATTGGACGATTTCCTCTCGAAAATCTGCATACACGGCTGCATGAACGAGAGCACCTGTATACGGCTCGCAAATGTAAGCAGCTTTCAGCGCGATATGATAATTTCGACTAAATAACCGTTGAATATTCGTTGTTCGAATCCCGCATTTAACGTATAATTGGCATAATCGCATAAATTAATAATAATTTATAAAATGAATTCATCGTGTCATTTGAATATAAATCTTGTGCGCAGTGTTCAATTTAAAAAACCACAGTTTTGACAACGTTTTCAAGAAAAGCTCGCATTTCATTTGTTTCACGTCAAGAAAGAGTATAACATTTCCCGAGTAAAAGAAAGGGCTCTTTTCTATTTAATTCAATTAAGTGCAAGCGAACACTAGCTGAAAGAAAGAATAATCTGAGTAATGCTCGCTCAAAGGGTAACAATTTTTTAAGAAAGCTTTCAGCATCTCTCTCCTTCTTTCTCTCTCGTCGGATAGTCGATTTTTAAATTCACATTTTGCGCATATCAACGTACACTTAAATATTTTAAATCGATAAATTTTTACCCGAGCGATGAAAACCTCTTGAATATTTACAGAAAAATGCTATTACATTTTTGAAATGATATAATTATTGGATAATTCGGAATTCATCGGAAATGGCGAAGGGATGAAGCAAGAACACAAGTTTTATAACAATCACTCAAAAATGTCGGAGTGGATTTACAACGAAAGTGAGAAAGGGCAAGAACGAGCGTTAACTTTAATGAGCGGTTGAACCAAAAAATTGGAACAGAAATGATATCGTCGTGCTTTGAAGGAATCTTAACGAAGCTAAAAAAAAAGTTTCACCCTGCAAATTATCACCGAACAAAGAGCTTGCGGCAAAGTATTGCAAAAAAAAAACGTTACCTCTGATCAACGGGCACGATAACTAGCAGATTATCGAGACTCGTGCGGCCGAGATCGCGGGGCGGCACAAAGCGTATTGATTTATCCTCCTCGTCGTAATTTCTCGTTTGCGTCGACTCTTCGTAATCGTCGCTGAAAATCATCGTATCGTTGGCGCTACAGTTCGAGCACATCCAGGTGAACGGCGACAGCTCTTCGGGCACGGGATTCGCCGTCGATGACGCGAACGGCTGCGGTCCTACTGGATGGACAATGAGAATCACGGTGTTGGGCACTCGCGACTCTTGCATTTTGTCCAGCTCGGTTAACGTGCGGGACATTAAATTCCCTTGCAACGGTAGGCATACGATTATCACTGTCGAACGAAAGATTAATGCGTATCAGAATATTTTGTTTTATTATATAATAAAGTAAAAGTTAAATGATGAAAATTTTCAAGTGATCATTTATTTTGCATTGTCTTTAATTCATAGGATTAAACACATATATGCGCCTTTGAGTATAATTATATTACATTTTTAGGAACAAAGGAGCTTACTGCGATTGAAACTTATTGAGTGGGTAAGAAAGCTCGAATATGCTCGTTTGCGCGAGTTTAAGAAGAGAATTTAATTAGCCGAGTATCTTATTGCAGTGAAATCGTTTATTATTCTCTTATGCTGTCAACAACTCGAAGAATTTAATACACCGTAACTCGCCCTGTTTTCGCGTCATTCCGTACGCTCGAATAGAACAATGTAAATTCGAGTATTATACGCATCTGATAGCGGAATATCGTTTTCGTCTATAAATCTACCTGCATGGAGTGCGCGCAACATACTTAAACGGCTTAAATATGAGTTTTATCATATTTCGACAGCGTTTCGGAACGAACGCGCGTAATAGCTTTGAAATAAGATTCGCGCGAGGCCTCGAGGGGTAAAACCCTGTAGCGGAAGCGAATTTGAACGCGCTCGATATATATACGTTGCCTCATAAATTCTTGCCTCGGTGTATATCCATCGCTTTCATCGCCGAGCGTAAATGTCGCGTTTACAAGTGCATATATCGATATATACTCGCCCGTTCTGATGATTATACGGCAGAGCTCGCTTATGCGTCGCACTATAATAGTAGCGATTACGTTACTTATCGACAAAAAGAAACAAATAAAAAAAAAACAAATAAGACTATGCAGTTATTGCGAAAAAACAATAACTTTTTAAAGTCATTGTGCAGCTGTGATTTTCTGGTCGCATACCTGATTTATTAATTAAAAAACTTTGGATAAAAAGTGGCAGCAACAAAATTATGCGCGCCTTTAGAAAAGGTCTCTGTAAGCGGGCGAGTAGCTCATTGTTGTAAAAATATCTACAGTTGTGACAAGTTCACAACGAATTAAATGATAATTGAAGTTATGAAATCTGTCATCTGCAGAAGTTTTAATAAGAGGCTTATTTACTTTTAATTAGAAAGTATAAACATCGTAATCTCCATGTTGTACCGCAGTCCTTTAAATAAGTATTCAACAAAACAATGCGCTTAAGCTTTGGCGATTGCCCGTGTAAAAGCCTCGCGATGAAATTCCGAAGCAAAGTTCGCTAATATCCGGCATAAAGGGAGTGCGTTGAGTTATTTTTAAAAATTAGCCCCCGGACTTCGTTAATTGAAACTGAAAAAATTTTAAATCGACCAACCTCTGCAAATTATTGAACGTAACGGTCTTAGCGTAGAGCGAATCAATTTGGATCCAGCATTGTGAGGCAGTACAGCATGATGACGAGGTATAATTCCGATGCTGCGCAATTCACTAATTACCGAAGTAGCTAGATTTGACCACACTGGATTATCTGGAAAATTGTCAAGTGAAAAGTTTCATTGTTAGCTTGGAGTGTCTTGAATGAAATCTTTTGTCTAAATCTCTCATATTTTGCCTTTTGTACTTTTAGTATGCTTGAAAATGTATTATCGATGGTTCACCATCCATATTCATTTATAACGAAAGTAATATTTCTAAGCCGAACAATCTATTTGTGTAAAAGTGCGACTATGATTTATTTTTATTTGTTCCGTTCATCAAAGGAAGTTGATTTGAATGCAGTATCGAGTATCTGTTAATCCGCACGAGTCGTATAACACGTGCGTATATACAATCGTCATTGATGTGCACTCGTTCCATGGCACTAAATCCAAGGCCTCTGCGAAGGCTTTGAATTTGGCTTTTCTTCGCAATTTTATCGAATTCCTTTTCTATAATCTCTAGAAAGCGATGAAAACAATCCGACTCAATCCCTTAAATTCTAGATAGTTTTAGATAAAGAAGCATCGTAGTTTCACAACGTTAGTGTGCTTTCAACCTAAATTCTAAGAATATACTTAGAAATTACAAGTAATTTCACTTTTTATGACGCGGATCGAAAAGTATCTGCATCAATTTTATTATCTAACAAAATGTAAAACTTTAGCAATGTTAAAAAAATTGATCGTATAAATCTTTGGTGAAAATTACCATCATAAACTTTGAAGCACGCGCCAATCATACTTATGACAAAAATCATTCGTCGTTTGTTCACAACTGTACTTTGGAATAAAAAAAAGACACAATTGAACAACGAAACAAGGTATAATTCGTTCGAATGTCAGGAAAAAAATGTATGTTAGTTTCAGAGGCTTAGCAAGTTAAGCTCACGTGGCTTGTGCAACAGTTATATATACACGTATCTGTGTACATCGATCCAAAGCTTGACGTAGCTTCTAGCAAATTAGCGAATTTTCTTGACAAGACAGGTTGAGTTAACTTTTTTTTTTGTACAAGCGTACGAATATACATAGAATGAAGAAGGAAAAGAGACTTACCGAGTCCAATCACCGAGACAGTTTTCCAGCGAAAATGCAAGAAAATCTCGGCTACAGCTCGACCTAAGACGACCGGTGACGGCGAAAGCCTAACGATCGACGACAATTTTCTATCCTCCTCCGTTTTCTGTAACAAATTTATAAAAATAACGAATACGTATATATTTATTATGAACATGAATATTCTATCGGGTTTACCGCGATGTGTAAACAAAATCCGCACGTTTGACAGGAGCGCGATGAATAATTTTTTTTAATTAAAGAGATACCGAAGCAGAGGGGAACTGAACATTTTCCAACGCATTTTTCGACATTTCTACCGAGAGTGCTTTTTTTAATTACTCGAATTTTTAGAGAATAACAAAATTAACACGTCATACAGTTTTATATAGATAAAACCATTCAGTATATTTGTTAGAAAATGCATTTGAGACTCGTTTTCAACTGCGGTTCTGGCATCAAAATAATCTTGTTAAAAGATTTTTTTTAATTCAAAGTTCAATAGATTTATTTCTTTTAATTAACTTATTTCGATAATAATTATTGGTTTGAAATTGAATATGTAAAGGGCCGAAGGATATTAATTCATCCATCCCTTATATTATGCTTATGAAATACAAGCAATTTTATGCCGCAGTTTTATGAAAAAGCATACCGAAGAAGCGTAGAAACGAACCGCTGTAATGTAGTTGATTTATTTAAAAAAATATTACGACCGCTACCGTTGAAGACTAGTTTTTCATAGAAAATTTGCGCACTTTGAAATAAATGATAACCTCGTGAATAACATGAAATTTTCCCGAGCGCGCGGAACATTCTTTTCATGAGAAAAAAAAGGAAAAAGAAAAATAATGATGATAATTTACCAAAAAAGTTCAGGTCGATTAATGGGAAGATAACAATTAGAGAAAAGCTGCCTTACAACAGTGAGTACATCAAGTCGCCCCCGAACAGCAGCGGCCGTTTATTAATTCTTTGACCGAAGAAGTATCACGCGTCGCGTTCGCATTGTTCATTCTGTTGCTCGCAGCTGGCGCAGTCGAGAGTTATAATAATACTGCTACTAGACTGCCTCGAGAAAAAGTCACAACTACAACTCACCCTTTCTCTCTCTCTCTCTCTCTATTTCTCTCCCTTCCTTTACGTCTCTTCGCCAAGAAGAAAAAATAATCACTTCCAACTAACGGCTGTATACGTATATATACGCGGTAGCAAAAAAAAAGAAAGAAGAAGGATAGAACAGCATCACCAAAGGAGAACAGAAGCTAATCGCATTACACGACGGCAAATTGCTTTCTTGTTGCATGCGGCGTCATTGCATTTGGCGTTAATCCTTCTTACGGTGTACTAATATGTGTCACAATATAAAATCGATTTATTTACATTGAAACATCGACGATTCGGTTTTCACAACCAATCTACTTAATTAATTTTCAGTTGCGCATCTGTCATGCGATGCATCGATACGATGTAATTATAAAGTACAGTAAATATTGTTATAAGTACGTGACTATACTTTGATATCGCCGTGTTTTCGATTCTACATTTTAATGAAAGATATCTACCGATCAGATATGCTCGGTTCAATTCAAAAAAACATTTGATGAATATAAATTTAAGGACTTATATTTTTTGTATTATTTCATAGAATTTGAATTGTAAAAAAATATACTTCAGAGTACGCAGAATGTACTTCAACCAACTTTTAACGATGACATTTTTTGGCTTCGTATCATTACTTCAATTTTTTATTAAAAAAAGTTATCTAATAAAAAAAATTCAAGTTCCGTTGAAAATTTTATTTTTTATATCACGTTAATACTTTTTTTACCCACGTTTGATTATTTCTATAGATAGATTTTTCTTTTTTACAGATCTTTTTCACAGATCTTCAAACTGATTCTGGTTTTAATATTCAAGATTAATAACGGCCAGAGACAACCCGATCTCAGATCAACATTCCACTTGAGCCCAGAACACTTCTACGGCATATTTTAAAAGAGAACCCGTGAAAGAAAATCTTACTAGTAGAGACAAGTTAATAACAGACGATGCAACTGCTATTGACAGAATGTCTGTTTTGTGTATTAAAAGAATGAATCCATCCCAAGACGGGTAAGCGAAAATTAATTAATATTAATTATTTGAGTTGGTTTGTACAAAGAAAAAAAGATAATTAAGAAAATTATTTGGTTTCAGATATTTTATAAATTAGCTAACAATGAGTGACGCTAAACTGTGATATGAGTGACGAATTCAGGATGATAAATATATGCTAACCACGGTAGATTATTCAAGAACATTGTTACATTGTTATGAAGCATTAAAAATATATTAAAAATCTGCTTTTTCTTGTAAAGTTAGTAGTTGTAAAACTCCTGTCAGTCTGCGTTGAATAAAATTCAAAAGTTGTCTTCGCGAGCTTTACATACAACGTTACGTCCTCGCGCCACAAACTCTTGAACTCTATTTAAATAAATAAATTCCGAGGGTGGAAATATTTAATTCAACAAAACTCGCTTTACTAGCACATTTTAACAGTTGTAATTTTATATATAAACTTTTATGCTATTTGGTCTTCGAATAAAAAGTGTATTATTACGCGGGACCAAGAAGCATTTACCTTGAATCAATATTTAACGAGATTGTACGGTTCTAACAGCATTTTCAATGTATAGAAGAGTACACAGTCGTAAAAACTTGAGCTGTCATTTCGAATTATTGTGGAAAAGTGAACGAAAGTGATTGAAGACGATATTTTATGTGACCTTTTATTGACATTATAAATGTTAGTTTAGTCGATTTTTACTTTTCCAACACAATGAAAAATCTACAAATTTAATAGCTTTGATATTGTTCGGCTATCATGTTCAGTGGATTAGCATTATACATTTAAATATACTATTCAATGTACTAGTAATCATTGCAAATAACATTTAACAATTTGAATTATTAGTTTTGACAATATTTAAATGGTTTATAGATTTTATCTTTCATATTTTTTCCTTTGTGACACAATAAAACGTAGATCAATATGTATAAAACACTCACTGATCAAACAAACGAAAGTTCAATTCATCGAACTTTCCTTTTAACGAAATTGAATCCCAGGAAAATTTTAAAGCTTTTAAAAAAAAGACTTTGATGAAAAGGGTTACAATTGGACAAATGCAAAATATCATGAAGCTCATAAAATGGTAGTGATTTCAATCTAATTGTAAAAAGTATTAATCGTACTATTTCAGTATCAGATTTCAAGTTGTTTAAAAAAAAAGATAATATCACTTATCAACCTTAACAATATAGAAAATGTGTCATTTCGAAACAGTAAATTGGAGATGACAATTCGGATTTTCCTAGAATTACTTACTACTTCATCGTAAATGACTTTAAACCATTTGAACAAGAATGTAATTTGCTAGAAATTCGATTAATTTCTTGACTTGAAACGAACATCAAGGGTCAAAGTAAAAAATAGTCAAAAATAATAGATCTCGAGTAACTCAACATTACTCTAAATTAAAATAGTAGTGTGTAAATGAATTATACCTCACTAAATGATGTTTGAATTAAACTAAGAATATTACTATTTCTATAGATAAATTAAATAAAAGTTTATTGAAGATGTATTTAATGGAAATTTGAATAAAGTTTAAAATAGAAGAATTTACAAATTTAAACGGGTAAATTTACTCTCCCTGTTAAACGTCGGTGTACAGAAATTACATTCTTTATCACTAATGATTTTAAAATTATTATCAAATTCAGTATAAACAATTCGAAATTCTCAAAGACTCGAGCAAGTATAAAATTTCGCTTATATACACGTCAGACTCGGGGAAAGGATCGTCGCGCGAGTTATTAATGCCCCCGCGTACGCAAGGCGCGCGCGCGCTTATGTCTCGTAAATGTTTGAGCCGCCGAGTGAGGAGTAAACTTACCTGAGGGCAGGTCCACGTGACGAGGGATTTGTTCCACAGGTGGGCGAGCTTGGCGGCCACTTCGCAGGTGCTGTAGTCGAGCTGGGCGACGAGGGCCTTGGTCGTTCTTTGACTCAGCGCCTGCACGAGCGCCTCCAAACCCCATGTGCGCTCCTCGCAGGTCTCTGCAATATACGTCGACGTATTATTAAAGCCCGTATATACAGTCAACTTTTACAAGTTCATCCTCAAAGCTTGTATTATGTGCCGTGCGTGCGACAGTCAGCCCCCGTGAGCGCGCGAGCTCGTAGTAAATTTCAATTGCGCTTTAACGTAATATTTCTCAAAGTGTATGTGTGTATATATATAGGCAAGCGACGCGCAGAACTAGAGTATGGTATAGTAGTATCTCGGGATAGCTCAGCGCGGCAAGTACTGTATACCAGCGATATCGTTGGCTTTAGTTTCCCAACTCGTGACTCGCGCGACGTGCAGTTTCCCGGGCTTCCACCCACGCGCGCGCGGAGAGAGGAAGTTTGAGCGAAATTTCATATAAGGCCAAGCCCCAGCAATTGAAAGTAAATTTTTGTAGCTTCGACAAAAAGTCGATCATCGATATCGAGTGAGAGAGAGAGAGAGAAAGACAGTAGCGCGTGAGTTTTGAAATTGGCTCGCTCCGCGGACAGAGGACGTAACTTTTTTTTCCCCTGTTTTTCATCCACCGCAGCCGCTTATACCCTACATATATAGAGAGAGAGAGTGCTGGTACGAAGTAAGTCACTCTTTGGCTTTCGCACTTATTTTAGAGGGCAATCCCATCATTGCTGCGGTGTAGCGCGCGCGCCAGAACTATATTTTTTTTTTCTTTTTTTTTTTTTTGCAGAGTGTACGTACTATCCGCGAGTCCGTCGGAACGAGAGACACACGAGCGAAGCCGGGCTACTGCTACCGCCGCCGCTGCTGCACCACACACCATCCCATGAATGTTGAAACGAGTTTTTGCCGGTATCCGCCAGTGGATTAGTAACAGTTGGAGCTCGGCTCGAAGTTGGACTTAATTAGTTCGTGTGATACCGCACACGCGTGTAGGGATAAAGTAATGCTTCTCTCTCTCTCTCGCTCTCTCTACTCCACTCTGGTCTACTCTACTCTACATACTCCCATATATATATTAGTACGTTTCGACTTTGTGCGCGCACCCGCGTGTGTGTATGTGATGCTATTTCGAACGAGCGCAAATGAACATGTACACGTTATACGGCGTAAAAGAAAGATTATCCGGGTGTACGGGGCGAGAATGACTCATAGGATCAGCCACCACCATCGCGTCGTGGCTCTTAACGCTGCGGTGCGCGGTGGAAGTTTTTTTTTCTCGCGCTCCTATTAAGCCGCGCGCGCCAATGGGATTTTTCCCTCGTAGAAGGACAATTAAGGGATGCGTGTATACGTCAGGATCTCCGTGCGTTGGACACCTTGTAAGAGGTGCTCGAACGAATAGAACGAGAGCAGCGCGAAGAGCGACGTCTAATTCGTGAGCACTGCGCGCGGTGCTGCTTCTTGATAAATCTCGCGCGAGTCTTCTCGCGTTTACTTGACAAGACAGCTATATACGTGTGCGACAACGCGAATGCTCGTTACGCGATTTCGTGGGTTTTGTCATTGATAAAAAAAGTCGAGTACGATTACGTTGCATTTGCCGAATCGAACAAAACATAAATCACGTAATGTATTTTCAAGCACGCGAATTTCGGTGAATTATAAATTGTTTAATTGTAATGCGATATAATGGTTAACCAAGGCTGAACGCGAATACGTATCAATTGTTGAGAATTTCGGGAATATCGCAGCTTACGCGCATTTCAGTTTTTAAAGCTCGTAACAACGAGTGGCTCGATTCGCCGCTTCGCGAAGCTTAAACATTATTATTTATTATATACGTATAATACGTTGGTGTGCGATTCGCTTTGGCCAATTAATGGATACGCGCGCGCGCACTCCGTACCGACGTATAATGACGAGCTAACGAAGTTAACAGTGCCGCGAATAATATAACGTAAAATCAAAGTTTTCCCGGGCTACGCGCGCGCGCTCATCATTCAATGCATTAAACAATCATATAACACGAGAACTCGAACTTGAAAGCTGACGCGTTGAATGGAAATTGTAATAGACTGTAGATAGCTTCGAACGCTGTGTGTATATCCTTGCGACTGTTGTGCGAGTTCATTAAAATTTTGGTAAAAATCACCGAGTTACGTGCGTATATCACTCGAGAATTATGGCCTTTTCTCACTGTCTCGAGTTGCTTGCCTACTTTGCAAAAGCGTCGTGAAACATCCACCTCCTTTTTCAGAAAATTAGCGTATATACGCGAAAAACGAAAAATGTCTAAAATAAACTTTTTCCTTGCACCCTCGGGCTCGCCGCGGCCAAAATTTACATAATTCTTACTTTCGCGCTGTAATAATTAACTTCAGCCCCTTAAAAGTCTTCGGCTAATGCGCGCACGGATACGCGTATAACGCGCCTCGCGTAGAAGAAAAAAGGGACAGTAACGGTTGTAAATTTGAAATCGAGAAGTCGCTGCTGCAGCCGCGGCGCTGTTTTTCAGTCCGCGCGCGCGGGCGTCCGACACGTAGAGACTCTGCAGGGAAAAACTACTTTATTTGTTGCAGCAATATACTTTTCGTGCCGGTCCATTGACTACAGAGAGAGAGAGAGAGAAAGAAAAGAGAACGAGCGTGAAAATTTACGGTTCGGCGTCCGAAGCAGCTGCGTGAAATTGCGCCCCTACGTGTACTACCGCTGCTACACAACTATACATGTACTGATTTGCAGTTTTGTATTGGTCCTACACGTATAAAGGGTACATATCTATACCTCCGCACGCATAAATATATAGATATCGAAGCATAACTTTATATACAAGGGTGTCCATGCGAAGCCGAGATTTCGGTTGCCGTCCGAGGAGAGAAAAATACCTTCGACTCTGCGTACGTAGCGATACTTTCGAAGATTTTGTGTATATGAGATGATTCACGGAGGGAACAAGGTTTACCATGCTCGAGGAGAGGTGGCCCCTCTCGTCCGTTAGCCACCCAGCGTATATTCCCCAAGTGGAACGCGTGCGGTACAATCGTAAATATGATTCTCGCATCGATCACGGAATACAAATTTTGCCTGTATCGCGCGCTCTACACGGGAGTAGTATATCGAAGAACATCCTCGAGACAAGGGCTGGAACGGAGAAAACTGTACTACCCCTACTTTTTCAATAAGTTATACGAGAGAGAGAGAGAGAGAGAACGACGACGAGGACGACGAGCAGTACATAAATCGTACATTTATTTCGTATAAGCAGTCTCCGCTTGTATTTTCCGGGGCCGCATACGTAAGTGCTCTGTCGTCGTTGTCGTCGTTGTTGTCCCGACTTTCAGAAATTCATTAGATATTGAAAACTGCTTCTTGGCGTGTGTATATACGAGCGCGGCATACATCGCTGAGCCCTGCGCGATGTATATGCCGCGCCAGCAGAGGAGCAAGGGATTTCGTATATATGTACGCCGAATTCATGTAAGTAAATAAGAAAACTTGACGCGCGAGATAAAAGCTCGGCTGAAACTTTGCAAGAATATGATCGCATTGGCAAAAAAAAAAAGTAAGCGAAGCAAGTTTCTCCGAGCATTCGTCAAACGTCAAGCCGTAGCTCCGTCTGTTTATCGACTTTCTCTCTTTCTGAGCGCGAGCGACTTAGTTTTAATTAAAAACTGCCGCCGCTGCTGCCAAATCGTATGTGAACGGCGCAAATTGCCTACTGCATCTTTCACGCGAGCACCGAGATTTTCCGTATTATTTTCGTTCTCGTTGTGTAGGACTGATTAAAGTAAAAATCAATCGTCGGGAAAAAAGTTGTCGCGCAGGTGAGGAAATTTTCGCGGTACTTTTACTATCCAAAAACTTTTACGACCATACGCGCCTGACGTATAACAAAAGTCGGACAGCTTCTTGCGCTAATTGATAAAAAAAAAAACGCCAAGAGTGCATGCATCAATTAAGGTTAGCGAAGATTCAAAAGAAGATCAAAACAATCAATGAAAAAAATAGCCGCAAAACAAGCCGTACAGCTAAGGATGTAGAGTTAAAATAGCTAAATTAGTTCAAGGATAATCTCTTAACCCATTAGCGTCGAAGCGACCGCTTGTTTTGCATCTTCAGTTTGTCATTTTTCTCTGGGCGAAATTCGGCGCGGTACTCTGATATGTTTTTTATTCTTTCAAAGTTATCGAGATGTTTTTCAAACTTTCATTAAAATGTAATGGCATCTCACAAAAACAACACGAATTATTGTGACGAACTTTCTGTTTAGCTCGATAAGCTACTATATGTCCCGAGATAATAAAAATACATATGCCAGAATCAAATTCAACTCACGAGCTTTCGGTATGATTTCCAACGAGCTATCGTAGGAAGCTCGCAGATAGCGTTGCATCAGCTCGACGTCCAGTCGGTCCTCCTCGCCTGCAGTCGTAGTAGTTCGCCCGGCGTAGTGGCCGTCGTCTTCGGCGCACTGCTCGCGCAGGAAAACGACGATTCGTTGACTCGAGGTCGAAGCTGGAGACGCGGGGATGGCTGCCGTGGCCGTGGCTGTGGCTGTGGCTGTGGCTGCTCGCCCGGGCCCGGGTTTTTGGCCATGGCACTCGTTGCCCGGCAGGCCGATGATAATTGTCAGACTTGAAACGACGGTCAGGAGGTACCACCAGCGCTGCCGCGACCAAACCCGGGCCATGGGGGGCCCTGTGTGCGCGTTTCGGCAACGTCTTTCTTCCTGATCGAATCGATTATTCGCGATGAATTGAAAACAATGTATGTTTAACGTTTGTTTGTCATGTCTTGGGCAATATTTGAATTTTTTACTAAATTTACCCTGGATTGTCGCCTGATCGTCGAAATCCACCGAGCATCCGTTGATCTACGCTTGGCTTTAGCTTACGAGTCACCTCATCTTCGAACTCATCGCTAATATACTGAGTGTGAATTTCTCCTACTTCATATATAAGTTTTAAAACAAGTATACTCTCGTTTATTCAAGTTGAAATCTGTCAATTTTTCTTGTTTTACTTGATCTGTTAACAAAATCGCCAATTATCATGAAAATCAGCATTTTCCTACCTGCAAATTTTCGGAGTTTTTATCGTTAGCTAATTCATTGAAGCAACCCAGAAACTTGATAAGAATTGAATTCTGAAACACAAAAAATTCATGTATTTAATTAACATTTCTATCCTATAGCTTCCTTCTTGAGAAATTTCTATTCTAGTTTTTGAATTAAAATTAGAAATTTTTTTTTCCGATACTTTGTAAGCTCAAAGTTGTTTTATAAAATATTTAATTTAAGACCAAATACATAAGGATTCATGAAATGTAAAAATTCTGTTTTTTTTTGTTAATATAACAAAGTCTGAGTGATTTTTTTTTAAATGTGGGAAGTACTTTTAAAAGAAGAGCATTTGATCTGTAAAAGGACACAACGCCGATATATTGGCGCACCCCCTGACCGACACTTTACCTTTGGTCTGAGGTTGATATGACCTCTGAAATCCCGATCTTTTACAGGTTAAAATATAAGAATAAACGCGTTATAAATTGTTGGATATTTTAAAAATTACATATCTTGAAATAAGAAAGGGTATTTCCTTCATTGCGTTTCTTTTAACATTTCCAAGTTATTGTACTGAAAAATTTGTATATGAATCAAATTTTCATTAAAATTTTGCTGTTGTTTCAATAACAGGTCAGTCCCTCTGTGTATAGCAGTACATTACTGTATAAAACCACTCGATGGTGGAAGAAAAAAGTATATCGCCAAGGAGCTAAATATCACTTAGTCAACTCGCTGAAATAGAATTCAGTCATTAACAAAGAATCGAATTTCTAGGAGAAAAAGTGTTAATAATACCTTTAAGTGAATAATATCTGTAAAAGATTACAGGTCGTGTTCTTAAAATCGAGGTGTAGTTTTGGCTAGTCGAGGCATATAACCTCAAATAATTTTTTATTGTACATAGTGAAAATTATAAGTAAATACAAATAATTAAGAAAGTAATGGATAACAAAAGTGACGTAATTAGGTAAAACTTTTTCGAGCGTAAGACTGTCTTTATTATTTTTCAAGTGATCTTTTAATAACCTTGATAATTTTCTAGGGTGAAGGAAGAACCGAACGATTTCTCTCAAGATGCAAGTGACGATTACGTTTTCGACTTGGCGAACTCTTGCAAAGCTGAAAAATATTCAACACTTCCGTTTTATGAATCATCAGTGAGTTTAACGATTTAAATTATATTCTGTTTTTTTTTACTATACGAAACTATTGCACAATTTTAATTTTAGGAAAATCACATGAATCAGCCTATTGAATTACAGAAAAATGTTGATGAAAAAATATCCATAGAATTTGAGTGCACACGTTTTAAACTTGAACCGACGTCTCTGTCAACGATTGTCTGCAAATCTGAGTTTCAACATATTCAACCTATTATCGTAAAAATGGAAAACAAAAATCAGATCAACGATGTAAATGAAGATATTTTTGTTAAAATTGAGTGTAAGGATGTAAAACCGAAACTGAAGCCATTATCAAAAACCATGTACGAAAATGAATATCAAAATAATCTACCAATTGTAAAAGTAGAAAATCAGATCAACGATGTAAATGAAGATATTTTTGTTGAATTTGAGTGTAAGGATGTAAAACCGAAATCGAAGCCATTTTCAAAAACCATGTACGAAAATGAATATCAAGGTAATCTACCAATGGTGAAAGTAGAAAATCAGATTCAGGCTAATGATAAGAATCAGGTGAAATTGATGAACAATGAATGCGGTAATAATGATAGTCAATTCCAAAAAACTTCCCGATTGAAGCTTAAACATACTAATACGATACGTAAGAATATTAGACCGCATGAATGTGAAATCTGCTTTACATCATTTGTAAAGCAAAGTAACCTCAAACGTCACTTCAACGCCGTACATAATTGGAGCAGACCCTTTGAATGCAAGATTTGTCACAAGTCATTTAGACAAAAAATTCATCTCAAACTTCACGTAATGGCGGTACATAATCATAGCAATCCCTTCAAGTGTGACACTTGTCACAAATCATTTAGTTACAAGGGAGATCTCAAGAAACACATAAATGTAGTACATGATGGTTGTAAACCTTTCGAATGTCAGAGTTGTCGGAAATCATTTGGACTAAAACAGAATCTTAAGAGGCACGTCATAATGGTGCATAATCGAAGTAAATTTTTCGAATGTGACATATGTCATAAGTCATTTGGACTAAAACAGAATCTCAAATCTCACATTAATATAGTGCATAATCAAAGCAAACCCTTCGAATGTGATATTTGTCAAAAATCATTTGGACAAAAATGTCATCTGAAAATTCATATAAATTCCGTACATAATCGGAGTAAACCTTTCGAATGTGAAATTTGTCACAAGTTCTATGGTCGCAAGAATATTCTCAAAGATCATATTATTACTGTACATAATCGTAGCAAACCCTTTGAATGTGAAATTTGTCGAAATTTATATGGCCGCAAGGAAACTCTCAAATTCCACATAATGACGGTACATATGCGGAGCAAACCATTTGAATGTGAGATTTGTCATAAAGCATTCGGACAAAAAGTTCATGTGAAACTTCACATAGAAGCGGTACATAATCGTAGACAACCATTTGAATGTAAAATTTGTCACAAAGCATTTGGATACAAGCATGGACTCAAAAATCACATAAATACCGTACATAATCGTATGAAATCCTTCGAATGCGAAATTTGTCACAAATTATTTGGGTACAAGAATGATCTTAAAAAACACATCAACACTGTACATGATCGTAGCAAACCTTTTGAGTGTGACGTGTGCCTCGTATCATTTGGACTCAAGAGTACCCTCAAAACTCATATAATGGGAGTGCATGATCGCAGAAAATCCTTTGAATGTGAGATTTGTCACAAAGCATTTGGGCGAAAATCTTACATCAATCTTCACATCAATACAGTACATAATCGTATCAAACCATTTGAATGTGAAATTTGTCAAAAGTCATTTGGACAAAAGGGTTACCTAAAATCACACGTAAGTGAAGTACATGAACGCAGAAGACCGTTCAAATGTGAGATTTGTCACAAATCATTCGGGCAAAAAGGTTCCCTCAAAACTCATGTAACTTTAGTGCATGTTCGTAGCAAACCCTTCGAATGTGAGATTTGTCAGAAATCATTTGGAATAAAACAGAATCTTAAGAAACATCAGACACGCCATAAAGGTACATGATCAAGGCGATCCTTCCAAATGGGACATTTCACAAAACATTTGAGCAAAAAAGTAACCATAAAACTCATATAAATGCAGTACACAATCACAGAAAATCCTGCATATGTGATATTTGTTACAAATTATTTAACTGCCAGAGTGAACTTAATACACACATAAAGGTAGTACATCGCCGTAGTAAACCCTTTGAAAGTGCCATTTGTAACAAATCATATGGCCGCGAGGATCAACTCAAAAGTCATGTTATTGAAGTACACAAAGCCAACAATTTCTTCGAATGTGACATTTATTAAAAGTCATTCAGATACAAGAGTGACCTCAAAAGGCACATAATTGAAGCAAACTTTAGGAGCGCAAGTTTTGTCCCAAGACATTTTGACTCGATGAAGACCTCTGCCCTCGCATAAGTACGCTTATAAATATCAAACAATCTTTCACACTAATATCGTTCAATTTTCTAAAGAAAAAATGACGTATTGAAGTTTTAAATTTTTATTAATTTCATGGTTATTGAGAAAAACCTTTTGTACATTAACTAAAATATAAACAATATATTTCACAAGTACATAGTGCCAATTAATATGGTAGTAGAAAATCCCTGCCAGCAAAAAGTATTCCTAAATTTTGTATACTGACTGGTACAGTAGATTTTCACACATAAATAATTGATTAAAAATTTCTGTAAGTAATGTGCGGGGCATTAATAGCATAAAACCCTTTTTTTTATCATACGATGTAGTATAGATTAATTCAAAAATCACATTCCGGTCGTTTTCTCTTTGTTTTTCTTATAAAAATTTATCAATTTAAGTGGAATATTTTATATTATTAATATTTTTAAATAATTATAGCAATAATTAAATTTCTAAGAGAAAAATCTTTGTCAATATATTGGCAGTGTTTTATTTTCGTTTACAAAGCCCATTTTTAGCAATTTTATTTTCAATTCACGTAGAAACAATAACAATGCGTGAAAAATACTCGGACTCGAAAAAAAATTAATTTTTACTAGTACTTAAATCCTATTACGCGGAAAAATCACATAACCCACTTTTAAACAAGTACACATAGTGTATAAGTACATAAAACAACCTTTGCGAACAAGAGGCAAAGAGAGAATAACAAAAAGTTCACGTAGTTGCAGTGAAAGAAAAAAAAAGTGAAAGAGTTGATACATAACCCAGATGAACACGGCATTTACGTAAAAAACAAAAAAGTAAAAAAAAAAAAAAAAATACCGAGAATACGCAGACTTGTAAAGAAAAATGGGCGGCACATAATTGGCCAAGCTTCGCACGCATCGCAGGCACGGCTCATCGTGCAGTCTGCAGAAAGATTAATCGAGCGTCCACCTAGAAATGAATTAAGCCTCTGTCGAAACGTTAACATTTGGACTTAATAGCCTCTTGGTATCCTGAGCTTTTTCTTCCTCTTTCTAGTCTCGTCTCGTCTAGTCTCTCTCAACTACTACTACTACTACTACTACTGCAAGGACAAAAGCTCGCGTAATTCATCGTCTACCTTTTGCTGTATTATGTACATTTTGCATGCAGCGTTGGATGCTCGCGTACAGGATACGTGACCAGCTCGCGTATGTTATTGGCCAGTCCGCCCGGGCGTATTCATCTTTTAATTTAAACTACGATAAATTACTCAACAAAATAACAATGTAGCGATATAATGGTAATTCCGGATGAGATCTACCGTCCAACCGTGTGTAAAGCTACAAGTTTCGAATGAGTTTTTTTTGTTTTGTCAGGAGAAAACAAAAAACCAACAGCGAAACAAATGTACGAATGAATAATTACGCGCGCAATTTTGAATTCCAAATTTCGCGAGTTCGTTATCTGAATATTTTTGATCAACCATGAAAATTCACGTCCCACGATACGATAATGTGAAATTGTTTGTACCCACGGTGCTCTTATCGGATTGAAAATCACATGTATTCATGCATTCGGTCGTTCGATGGGACGAGCAGCCACGAGCATTTGCACACCCACACACTCAGCCGTTGAAAATGATTGATCCAGCCGCACGCATAACTGTCAAGAAGACGAATGTTTTTCGACAATTTAAATCCATTGTAGTGTATCTTGGCGCGAATATATAAGACCTTGGGGGGGGCGCGCCGCGTGGCGGAATCATTGATTTCCGTGTGTATCGGATGGCTGGAGTTGTCAGATGTGTGCACCCCGCGCACGCATTATATCCTGTATATACAGCCACCCACGCCACGGCCGATTTTTGTGTAAAACTATTGTCGCGACGAGCGAACTGGAAATAAATTAGAGCGCGCGCGTACTCGCGCACACACGCACTCGAATAAAGATCGAGGCCGCCCGTGCAATTCCGTCCGATGCTCGCTCGCGTGCAGCTCGTGCTGGATCGCTGTCGCATTGTGTTGGCGCGTCCGTCCGTTGCACAACAAAAAAAAAAATTGATTCGAATACTCCCGGCCATTTAACGTCGATCATCTCTCGATTGGACGACCGAGGCAATCGATGTTTCCTCCTCTACATATATACACGTACACACACACACACGAAACGGCACGACGATAAAGCTCAAATAAGTGCCTATAGTTGCGGAATCTGTTTATCATCATTAAATCGATCATTTGCGACTTTACACGTAATCATATTTAAATTTATACTCGGTTATTGTTTGTTCGTTGAGATTTCCATCGAGTCAGGGGGGGAGAGGGAGAGCAGATTTCAATATGAAACAGCTTCGAGGCGCCAAAAGTAAACTGTTAGAAAGTTTATCGCGCTAAGAATGATTGATGACTGAGAAAGGACTCAGAGCCACCTGTTGATATATAGGTAGTATTTCATCAACTTTATGGCGTAGGAGTTCTTAAGTACACATGGAAAAAAAATTGACTGCATAAAAAGTACAATTTGAATGAAAAGAGAAGTTTATTAATAGCGAAGGTAACAGAAATGCAATTGAAAAAAATGTCTGCTATGCATAAAAATTTTACAACATTGTCCGAAATACCTGTTCCTGATAAGAGAAAGAATTTAAAAATAAACTATAACAACAATTTGTAATTTCAATATCGATGAAAAAATGTTGCAAACACACGCGCAACACCATACGCAGGATAAAAGATTAAATCAGCATGATACGCGTATAATGTACGTATACGCGAGTTCAAAGTGCGATTTGTGCAAGCAGCAGCAGCAGCAGCAGCAGCATGAGAAAGTACGAAGAGAAAAATAAATAGAAGGCCACGCCCACCCTAAAGTACGGGCTTTAGTGGAATGTGCTCGCTGCTGCTGCTAAAGCTTCTCTGTGTGTGTGTGGGTCTACGCTATATGTATGCAAGAACTGGAGCTGCGGATTCATAAAGCGCTCGGAAACATTTGGCACCCCCTCGCGCGGCTTTTTTTTTTTTTTATTTCGACCGCTGGACTACCGCTGCTTTTTATGTATTTTGTGTACACGAGGCCAACTCCTGACCAGCTATTATTTGCTTTATTATTCGAGTTGTTCATAAAAATTGCGCCGGATAATGAGTACACGATTCAAATTACGTCGAGTGCGTGGGCACGAGAATTCTGGTACACACACACGCGCGCGCGCATACTTACACGCACAAGCGCATAGATATTTTTGTCTACTCGCATTAGATACAACGTCGCACAATATATATACTTTTGTCGATTAATAAGGCAAACTCGCATAAAGAGAGAGAGAGTCGTGTCCGCGCAATTTCAACCGCAATTATTATTACATAAGCTCGCTGCTGCTTTTGCTCGTCTGTCGTTGCAGTTCGCTCGTTAACGACGAAAAATTCGCGCGGAGTACTACTCGTCGCTGCGTGCAAAACAAAAACGGCAGTAGCGCACGCGTTGCGTTGTTTATACACTGAGAAAAAAATTTCATTGATTTAATGAAATTTAATTTAATATTTAATACACTATTAGTTTGATGAATATGATCAATTGAAGCAATGAAATTTATGTAAAAACAATTCAATATTTCGTTGGAAGAACAATGAACAAAATATTTAGTTCTATTAACAAAATATTTGATTCTTTCGATCAAATGATACTATTAAATGAATAATATTAATTTCATTGAAATTCTGAAATATTCTAATGAAATATTTCATTGAACCAAAAAAATATCTTGTCCCAATAACGTTATATTTCATAATTTCAATGAAATACAATGTTTATAATGAATATCATAAAATCAATGAAATATTTATTCGAACTCATAAAATCCAAATTGTTGCTTTAATAAAATAAATATGTGATATAATAAATTATTGAATTTCCCTTGCGAATTGTAACAGAATTAATTTGTAAGTGTCACCAAATCAATAATAACTTTTCAGAATGAACATGATCTATGATCATGAGTCAATATCCTCGAGTCAGAATATTTTGTTTTCGTCGCTCGCGACACCATATTGGTAAAATATTTCAACCTTTATTTTAAAATTCCATTACTACGTACAGATTTTAGATGATAGAAGCAGATACTGTTATATTATTTCAACAGATAAAATGAATGATCGTTTTCTATATATTACTATCATCAAATTTTATTTTTAAAATGTTACTTGTACTCGCTAAAGCCCGCGCCTTTATAATGCTCCGAAATGTTATTTTGTACTCGCTAAAGCCCGCCATTATCGAACGCTACAACATTCGATTTTTCAAGAATTTCAAATGCAGTTCGTTGCGATCTACCCTCCGAATGCGGAGTAGCTCCCTGCTCCAATCACAGTGTTTAGTTTTGAGTTTCACCTTGCACATACCAGTGATAGAGAGAGGAAAGCCGGCAAAAATTTAATCTGTGTTGTCGGTTTCGAATATCCAGTGACCTATTGCTAATCGAAATCTGCGCATTGTCTAACGGCCGGTAAAATCATCATGGATGAAAAAGTACAAGACTGGCTTAAGCAGTGGGACCTCCAAGAGTATATCGATACTTTTAAAAGTAAGTATTACTTTCTTAAGTACATATTTATCTACTGTTAGTTCATTAAACTCAAAGTTACGGAGTATTGAGTAAATTTCAATACTGGGTGACCAATACCTGACTCGCACAGTACCTAAGTAATTTGCATATTCGTTGGGTTTGAGGTTAATTATTGTGAGATGTTCAATATTATCAGGTTTCATACAATATGCAATGATTTCAGGTACTTTTCATCATTTAATTATTTCAGGTTATGTGTATTAAATAAAGACATTCAATACATCATATTTTTCATACATCATATTTTTTCAATATTTTATCATTCTGTACTTTGAGTTTAATGTAATAATAGCAGTATAAGATTGTGTCATACCACATTGAGACTTGGTAACTACAGAGGAGAGGTACGAATGGCAAAGATACTTCGTTAACATTCTGTCGACTTCTTCGTAATAGTCGACTGTACATAGACTAATGGTTTTACTTGTGCAATTTAATGCAATTAAATAATGCACATTACTTGAAGTAATTGTACAATTCAAACTACCTAATATTAATGTATATTTTAAGACACCTCAAAATCATTGAATATCTCATAATAATATCTCATAATAAAATATTCAAATTATTAGATGCTCTGCGAGTCAGGTATTGGTCATGAAGCATGGCTTGGAAGTAAATTATGAAAAATCTGAGCAGCACTAAACCTTTATAATACATAAGACGGTTATATAAACATTAAAAACTAATTAAAGTATTGCTGAGATTCATAGCCTACTCAGCAATACTTTAATTAGTTTTTAATGTTTATATAACCGTCTTATGTATTATAAAGGTTTAGTGCTGCTCAGATTTTTCATAATTTACTTCCAAGCCATGCTTCATGACCATGCCTGACTCGCAGAGCATCTAATAATTTGAATATTTTATTATGAGATATTATTATGAGATATTCAATGATTTTGAGGTGTCTTAAAATATACATTAATATTAGGTAGTTTGAATTGTACAATTACTTCAAGTAATGTGCATTATTTAATTGCATTAAATTGCACAAGTAAAACCATTAGTCTATGTACAGTCGACTACTACGAAGAAGTCGACAGAATGTAAACGAAGTATCTTTGCCATTCGTACCTCTCCTCTGTAGTTACCAAGTCTCAATGTGGTATGACACAATCTTATACTGCTATTACATTAAACTCAAAGTGCAGAATAATAAAATTTTGAAAAAATATGACTTACTGGAGAAACAGTTGAGCTGTTATAATGAAACTCGAGTAGGTTATGGTAGTTAGCAGTATAAGTTTTTAATTTTTACATAATTACACAAACATTTTGTGAGTTTTTTAAATTTTAATATTGCTTTAATTTATGCAAAGTTATAAATAATATCGATAAGTCCAACCATAAATTATAAATAATATCATTTTATTTTTGAACTTCACTTCTCAACGCTTTTAATGGTACTGACACAGTCTAGGAATGATGATTGAACAATTTTTCAAATTAATTTTTATTTTTTTCAAACATTTTTTCATTTAACCTTTATATTAATCATTAATTGCTCTTTCTTTATATGTTTCAGCTCAAAAAATCAATGAAAAAATATTCAAAACATTGAGTGACCAGTATTTGGAAAAATTAATTCCTATAATTGGGGATCAATTGACTTTTAGAGAAAAATTCAACGAAGAATTTCCATCTGAGTTAGAAGAGGCTTCCTCATCAAAAAGAAGAGCCACTGTCAATACTGATCACGAACCTCCGGCCAAACGCCCACTATTAGAAGTCAACAGCGAGGAAACGATCGACAACCTGATCATTTTGCATAAATTAGAAAATATCAGAGAAGTACTAAAGGAAAATTGTGAGGGCAGGAGTATTATTGCATACTTTGACAAGAATAACTCATTAAAAAAAGCTCATAGGACTAAACTTGTTGATATTATTATCAGCAAAGTTTTTTCCTTATTGAACAACCCAAAGCTCGACAATTCATTTTTTGAGCATTTGGCTCAGTATATTGTTAGTGCTTTTGACACAGAATGTATCTCCACCTACTATATCCCACCGGTTCTAAAGAAAAATTCAGGAACTGAAAATAAATCAAAAGGAGCCAAGGGAAAACTAGTGGTAAAGTACTACAATACAAAGGTCGCTCTAAGAAAAGCCTGTGATGGTGAAGAGGATTTGATGATCGTAGAAACAAATGAATTGGATGCTGAAAAAAAGAGAAAGCACAATATTTCAAAAGAAGATAATTGTAAGTATCGACAAAGACTTTTTGACTACCACATTTTCTTTTTTTTTATTATTATTATATTTTTATGCTTTCAGCTGAAGAAGTTGAAACGAGCTTAAATTGGATAAGAGCTTACCACGCACTTCCAATAACAGAAGAAACACTGAAGCACTGGAAAAAAACGGCGAACGTCAGGTTGGAGTCTATAGAAGAAAGTACCGATCTTAATACGATTCAAGTATTTATTGATTATCCAATACTCAAGCAACAGGATGCTTACAAATTGATTTTATCGGATTTTGATCATCTCAATTTAAGTGAAGAAACATTAAATTTTGAAAAGTGGAATCTTATTTTCCATACTTTGCTGGATTGTCAGAAAATCAGTAAATCCGATAAAATCGGAAGAGATTTATTAAGTCAATACACTTGTATTCAAGATGAAATGGTTCAAAATGAAAGTGAGTATTCTTTATAATTTTTACAATTTTTCTTATTTTATACATAATTATGATATTAATTTAACATTTATATGGTTTTCAGATAGCATAGTTGCTCTACAACTTCTAATGTTGCCACATTTGATTCCATCAACAAATTCACGTAAACTTAGTAAAACGGAAACTTGGAAGGTGTCAGTTGGTGACAGCAAGCAAAGCATCATACAATTCGCTATAGTGAGTAAAAAATTTCCTTCATTCAGTACCAATAGTAACTTTAATAGTTGAGTAGTTCTGTAACACATTATTTACAATCAAATGTTTTAATATATGCATGTAAAATTTTAGGATTCAACTCTCATTCCTGATTTACTGAGTAAAAAAAAAGAGTTTGCAGAAAAACACAAAATTTCAGTGCAACCGTTCATATTTGTTGTTGGTGAGGATCTCAAAAACATAAAAGAATCTTACGTTATATTTGATTCTATATCATACAAATTACCATCAACGTTGGAGGCTTTCAAAGTGTGTTTCAAGTTGTTTCACGTCTTGCTATTGAAATATCCCTTCGAGAGCGAACATTTGTATATACTTATACAAAAACTTTTGAAAATCAAGACTCAGTGGGATGATAAAATCTTTCCTTGTACAGAGCATGCTCTTCACACGGTTCAAAAGAAATTAGAAGATTTTCCGTTTCCTGATTTACTGTAGACTTACACTAATTTTCTTTAAGATTCATAAAATGTTTTGTCCATTTTGCAATGATCTCAAAAAGTTTTCGGACTTGATCCCACATGTTAAACTTAAACATAAGAATTTAATGTCTACAGAAATCGTTTGCAGTGCATGCAAATGTGTAACGCGAGATATTTATACGTTTAAAAAGCACTCCAAAATCCACGAAACCAAAAATAATTTTAAGGAAATTGAATCCGCTACCGGTGATATACAAGTGCCTTTATTTAATTATGATGACGTACCTGTCTCTTCAGATATTGAACCGATTGCGGAATATCTAAATGAAATCATTCCGCAGCAAGTTACATCAGTAGAAGAATTTTCAAAACAATTGAAACGAAACGCATCTGTTTTAGTCGCCAAGTATTTTTCTAAACCTACTGTCAATAGAAAAATTACATTAGATATTATTTCTAATTGTGTAAATTTTTATCAAAATGCGTTGAACCCTCTGAAATTATTTCATAATAACAATCGCGAATTATCCTTGGAAATATCGATTATTCAAAATTGTTTTTCCTTTTTAGAAAACGAGTACAAAATTTTTCAACATTTTAAAACTTTAGGCACTTATATAGAACCAGTAGAGGAATCGATTGATTTGTATTTAATCGTAAAAAATGTAAAGGGTTTTAATACGCAAGCTCAGAAATATCATAAGTTTCAAATTATCCCAATTGATATTGTATTAACGAAATTTCTTGAGCTTCCTGGCGTATTAGACTCTATAATAACAAATATAAATAAGAAAGAGCAGAGCGACTACTTTGATTCGTTATTCAAAGGGGATGCATATAAAACTCTAAAAGAACAGTTACCTGTAGGCATATTACTTCCTCTAATGGTTTACAATGATGATTTCGAAATAAATAACCCGATTGGTAGTCGTAAAGTTTTGCATAAAATAGGTGCAGTTTATATTTCTATTTTAGGAATACCAGATGAGTTTGTTAGTCAGTTAGAAAATATTTTATTATTTCAACTGCATCGCTATTTGAATCACAAAGACTTTGGTAATAAACCAATCTTTCAATGCTGTGTAGATAAATTAAAAAAATTAGTGAAGGACGGTTTAATCATTAATTCTATTAAAGTTAACTTTGTAGTTTTTCAAGTCGTGAGCGACAATTTAGGAGCAAATTCCATATTGGGATTTTCGAAATCATTTTTATCTATGAATTGTTGTCGTATTTGTACGGCTGATATTAATCAGCGTAAATTTTTAACTAGAGAAGATTCTCAGTTACTGCGAGACGTTGATAATTATAAGTTGGCGGCTGAAAACTTAACTCACGGTGTTGAAGAAGAATGTATTTTCAACCAAATACCTTATTTTCATGTGACAAAAAATAGTTGTGTGGACTTAACACACGATCTTTACGAGGGCATATGCCGCTACGACATGGGACATATTTTGCATCATTTGATACAAAAAAATTATTTTACACTTGAAAAAGTAAATGAACGTTTAGCTAATTTAAGTAAAAAATGTATGGATGATATGAATGTAATGACTAAATTACCTAATGATTGTGTATCTAAAAAATATTTAATACTCTCAGCATCAGAGATGTCATTTTTGATCAATTATTTTGGTATACTCGTTGGTAATTTAGTCAAAAAAAACGACCCAGTATGGGAGTATTTTTTACTTCTTAAGGAAATTGTTAGTCTTGTCACAGGTTCTGTCGTGAATGACTCGATTATTGAAAGATTACAAAATGCTATTCACGAGCATCACACTATGTTTATAACTTATTTTAAAGAAGATTTAAAACCTAAGTATCATATCTTAACTCACTACCCTCGATTAATGAAACTTTTTGGACCATTGAATCAATTCTCTACCATTCGTTTTGAAGGCAAACACAAATTTTTTAAAGAAGTAGCGAATTCAATGACCTCAAGGGTAAATCCTGAATTAAGTTTATCTGTAAAACATCAATTGCAGCTCTCTTATAGGCTATTGATTAATCGAGGGTTTGAGTCGAGATTGGAAGTAGGTTCACAAGAAGTTAGTTCAATCAAGAATTTATTAGACTTCTCAAAGTTCAAAAAAAAAGTGCCCATAGATTGGCTCAACGCTGATCCTTCAGTAGTTACATGGGTAAGAGTGAATGGTACTTTGTACAAAAAACAATCAGTAATTTATATGAATAGTGGTACAACTGATTGTGTACCAGCTGTGTTAGGAAAAATTTGTCATATCTTAGTAAGTAAGGAAAACCGAGTTTCATTCATATGTGAAGAATTAAAAATTACTTATCATAATGAACATTTATCGGCTTACGAAGTGCAGTTGTTAACTAACTCTTATTGTTTTGTTGAAAGAGAAAACCTTTCCAATTATAAACCGACAATAGATCATTTTATAAGTAATTCTCAAAGATGTATACCTATATGGTAATTAAAAGTATCCCAATGTAAGTTGATAACTACAAAAGTATAATTTTTTTTAATAAATCACGTACCAAAATGCACTTTTTGAACGCTTCATTTAATCAACCTAAATTATTTACTATTTCAATTAAATTATTTTTAATTTATTGATATAATGAAATATTTTTTTATAATAATTAGATATTTTGTTGCATCAATGAAACGATTTATTTTTTATAGTTCACCCGACTTCCTAGATGGCGCATTTCAAAACTCGCAAGTGGCTGAACAAATTTTTGATTGCTATATAAGAAAGCTCTCATCTTTTATCCCCAATGTATTTGAGCGTATATAAGTATGAGTTGCGTGCGTGCGTTTGTAAATGAATGTAATGTAACATTGTTTCTAGATGTAGGTAGGCAAAAAACTTATAATTTCAAAAAATATGTAATGAATATATTTAAATTCTGTATAAGCAATGTTTAATTACAGGTACAGGAGTTAATTAACACATGCAATGCCATCAGTATACTCGGACTCACCCTTAGTATGATATATCGAACAAATGAATAATTTTTCATATTTACACATTAGTTTTGACAAATTTTCCCTTATTTGAATGAAATATTTCATTGATTGAACAACTGAATCATCAATTTCATGTAATATTTTATTTATTTTATAATATATTTGATTAAACCTAAGACACCATTTGTTGATATCAATAACTGAAATATTAGTTTTATATAATATTTCATTATTTTCAAACAATATTTCATTGAAATAATAAAACTATTTATTAAAGTGAAATAAATAAAAAATATATTTGATGAAATATTTTATCACTTCTATGTATATTTAATTAATCTTATTGATTGATTTGATTCAATAGATTAATAATTTAATAACTCAAACAAAATAATTTCATTCATGCAATAAAAAAAAAATATTGTTTCGATGAAATTATTTCATAGATTGTATTTAATTAAATGATTTCGTTGAATCAATGAAATTTTCATTGTTTCAATGATTTTTTTTTCTCAGTGTACATATAACTATATAGACGTCGGTCGCGCGCGTGCCTCAACGGCGAGGGAGGATTTGCAGACTCGCGCGCGAGCGTTAATGCTTTGCGTCGCTCTTATACGCAATTGTTTATCCATTTGTTTTTTCCTGCGCGCTACACAGTCGCAAAACTTCGTAATTGCACTCGCAGGCCGATCGCTCGGCGCGATTGTGCCTCGCGCGCGCGCGACTAACGCGGGAATTACGCCTGGCGGAAGAGCTTTTATATATTATGTATACGAGAGAGAGAGAGAGCGAGGGAGCTTGCGAGCACAGAGAGAAGGCAGTAATTTGACTATTTCGGGGTTAATGCGAAACTTTGTGCTCGCTGTTGAGCGCGCGCCCCGTAGTAGTATAGAGGAAAAGTGTGTATGCGTGGAAAAAAAATTGATTCATACTTTTATTGCTCAAAGTTTGACATTCGAAAAACTTCAGTCGCTATACGCGCGAGAAATCTTTCCCATTTCTATATAACCCCCGCTAGCTCTCGGTGCAAATTTAATAAATCAATGCGAGCGAAGACAGATTTTTTTACTGCCTAGGTGAGTAATACCAATTTTATATATGATCAGCTCTTCGATCTGTTTGAATTATATTTCAGTTGTGTATATCGTAGCGCAGAGGGCCCGGCGGCAAATAAACCGCGCGCGAGGCGTAATATATAACTCGCTGCCAGGATATAAAACTACTGTACTGCTACTCGTTGAATTATCGAGTAAACTCGACTCCGATGGCGACTTTTTCTCATCCCGAGCTTAAGACCTCTCGGAAATAGAAGCTATAAGGTTACCTCTATATACCTCCTTCATCGTCGTCGTCGTCGTCGTCGAGCGAGCCCAGTCGCGATGATCGTCACCCGCGCACACGACGTAAATTTAACCATTTTTTCGCTACGCGCACACCGATGTTTTCAATGTTCTAAAGCAAATAGGTTCGACTAACGATCGACTATATGTACTAGACGCGTTCGAGAGAACGGAGCAGTCTTTGGGAAAATACGAGATATTTTTAAATACAGTGTGCTTTATTTTTCGCTCTTTTCTTTTTGTCCGTTGCACTTTCCGGTCGCCGAGAAAAGTAGTCCACGCGCGCGAACGGCAAAACCTAAAGATTGCGAGAGATCCAAAGTTTTTTTTTTCTTTAAAAGTCCGTTTCTTCCGCTCCTTTTTTTCGCGTTTCGTTTCGTAAAGTAGCAAATTTTCAATTTTACTTCTCGCGCGTTGGCAGTTTAAAAAAAAAAAAAGAAGAAGTTCTCGATCTGATTTTTCCTCTCAGCAGGAGAAGAAGAAGAAGAAGAGAAGTAGGAAGAAAGCGACCTAACGATGGTTATAAGGCTTAATCAGACCTAATGGAAATACAGAGATCCGTAATAAAGGAAACGAAGGCACTTGGATATGTGCTGACGGTTTGTACTGAATTATAGATAATACCACGAAAGCCTCGTGAGCCGCTCGTTACTCGTCGCATTTATGAGTCATCATTACGCTTGATTTTCCAGCTCTTATATATCTACTTTTCCTCGTTTCTTTCTTTTTTTTTTTTTTTTTTGTTTTGTTCATCAGTAAATTTATTTACGGCGGCATAAAGCAAACACGAGCCTTGCCCGCGCGTGTATGTGCTTATATTTATAAACGCGGATCGGCAAATTGTAATGGAAGCAAATCCTGGAGTGCTGTTATTACCGCGCTGAAACTTCGGTAATGTACATTATGTATATATATGCAGCGCTGGTCTGCAAACATTCCGAGCCCGACGGCCGCCCGCTAGATCATGACCCCTCCAAAGTACACATGTGGGATACTATTTTTAGTTCTCTCTCTCTCTCTCTCTCTCTCTCACTGCGCATATAGCCAAGATAAACTCTCTGGGGCTAGCGCTGGCTACTACTCTCAAAGTTCGACGAAATAAGAAAAGTAAAAGCCGCGCTCGTTTATTTTAATGATAAAATAAAAAAAAATTATACAGATTGCCGAGCGCTTGCGGCGGCAGCGGAGAATATATAATATCGATCGAGCGTAAAACGCGCGCGCGACAAAGGAAGCAGAATCGAAAGGGGGAGGAAAATATTCCTCTCTCTCTCTCTTCGGCTGCTCGCAGTGGTGCGGCTTCGGTGACCGAATTCAATCGACGCGATCGCGTCGAAATATATACAGTATATAAGAGACGCTTATGTACGCGCTACGTGCGGCACTTGATGCAGGCGCGCAACTGTATGTGCCTGTGTGTGTGTGTGTGTGTGTGTGTGCAGCGCGCGGCAACCGTCATCCAAGTTTCGACACTAGCAGCAGCAGCAGCTGATTCTGCACGCAGAGCCTCGGGGATTCGAGATTCGAGCCGTCGAGCTAACTAGTTGTTTGCAAATGGCTCGACTCAGCATCGGGAATCGATATAAACTCCGAGCTGCCGCCGCTCCGTGCCTGTGTTATGCAGCTGCAACGCCGATCATTATGATGATTATCGATTGTCGCGCGCGCGTCAGCTACCAATTCATTCTCGGGCCTCTCTCTCTCTCTCTCTCTCTCTCTGTCGCGCGCGCGATGCTGCTTAACGACAGTAATTACATCCCCTAGTGCGCCTTCTATACATGTATATAGGTATGCGCGCTCGATTCTTCATTTGCTCGCAGATGGGCACGCGCGCCAGCTAGTGTACACTACACACGCATACGCACACATTGAAATCGTAAATTAGTGTATATGTTATTACAATAACTCGGTACACGTATTGTGTATCGGCGCAATACCACTAGCCCCCGACTCCCGAGTGCGGTATATATATTCTATATATACACGTATAGCCAACGTACACGCCAAAGCAGTTCAATTATTGCATTCAACAGTTATTCAACTGTTCGGCTCGGCAAGTTGGCGCGCGATAATAACTACTCCGCCGAGCGTTAACAATCGAATAAAATTTAATGGACGATTCGAGCTGCGAACTTTATTTATTGTATGGCTGCTACCAGCGCGGTGCACGAGCGCGTCCGACCGAATCGCGATTTTACTACTGCGTACACGACTCCTGCACCAGTGTAGTACTCTTTTCAAGTGTGCTCTCTGTGTGCCTGGACTGCTATACTGCTGTATATCGCGCTGTTTCGAAACGAAGAATCAACGATTTTGTCCGCGCGATGGACACCGAGCCAAGAGGCGACAACGATCGAACAGAGAGAGAGAGATAGATAGAGAGCAAAAAAAGTTTGACCAGCTTTTGTAATTTATTCGTCGATATAAAAGAACTACGGATACGGTATATAAGAGCTTGAAACAAAACATCCTTTTAGCGAGCTCTGGAGCTCCGGAGCTGCAGCGAAAAGCGCCGCGTCCTTGATCATCGCTTAGCGGTCTCTCGTCGGTGCAGCCTCTGCAAAGAGAGAAAGAAGAGAGAGAGAGAGAGAGAGAGCACTGGAACGGCTAGACCCGTGACCTATTTGCAACGTCGACTGAGCACTGCAGCCGAAGAAATATATGCGTTTTCGAGCGTCGTCGTCGTCGTCGTACCTAGCAGTATTATAAGAGAGAAAGAGAGCCCCAGCAGCAGCAGCAGCAGCAGTAGCAGTAACAATACTCTCTACGTTGCGTCCGAGGTCGTCAAACGCACATCGGCTACGACGCGTTAGTTTTACACCCCCGCCTCCAAACACACACACACACACGTGTACACACATTTACACACAAGGTGCAGCACTGCCACGCGCGAGCGCGATGTCTTGCTCTAGCTGTGCTGCACCGCCCGAGTGTTTTTCGAGGCGCGATCAATTCAAAGGAGCCCCCGGAATTTCAAATTAAACTTTTTTTCTTACCCCTCTGAATTTATGCTGAATAAATAGAGACCCTTTTCTTGCTCGCTTAAACCCGCGCACTTTTCATTAAACCAAATGAATCAGTTGATGAAGTCGCTAAAAGATTAAGCTTTTCTAATAAATTACCGAGTGTATGCACGCGAGCTATTATGAATGATTACGGCCCGGCTAGCTCGCTCTCGTCAATTTCGGGGGCGTTTTTCCTGATGAAAATGCTCGACGGAAAAACATCGTCCCGCGATCCTCTCTTTCTCTCTCTCTCTCTCTCTCTCTCTCTCTCTCTCTCTCTCGAGCGAAATTTCTCAATTTTCACCTAATCCTATTTATTACTACAATACTTGTGATACAATTAGTAGAGAAAATGTTGAATTGAAATCTACTTGGAGAAGTTTTGAAATCTTATATGTAGACTTTTGTTCATCCACGATTTACTCAATTATAATATTCGAAAATTCAATATTATTAGTACTTCGAATCGAATCGAATTATTTCTATAATTTTCGAAGAAATCTCTTAATAAGTTTACTCATTTTAATGAAAAGCTTCTTAATATTTCAAATGGGATTTTATTGCTCTTCATGTATTTCATTTTCTGTTCGTCTTATCTTCGATAAAGGCTGGCATAAAAGAAGAAAACTTGTTAACTGCATTGAGACCTTCTTGAATTATTCGCTAAGCTTGGCTTATCTTTGAGTATCTTCAATAGAGACACTCGCGCGATTGCCTACAACTAAATCCGCATTACGAACGAATTAATCAAACTTCGAACCGTTGATCTAACTGATGAGTAATCTTTTGTAAATGTAAGCGTGTGCACTTCGAAAATGAGAGAAATTTGCATACCCACGTCATTTCATGCTGACTTATTAGCCTAAAGGAAATCAAATTATTATCTCAAAAATTCCCTGGTATAGAAATTCCCAATGTTTTATGGCTAATTTTTGGCCAACGAATAAGTTACTTGGACTAAAAGGGTCATTAAAACTGGATTTATACTAACCAATAATGTAACGTTTTTTCAACATTTTTTGATAGCATGATGATCCACATTATTTTCAGATAACTATTTGAATACTTTTTTAATCGTTATTTTTAATTTTCTACATTTGAGATGTGAAACATTTTAAATGATTTTATAACTGTTTGATCATTATATTTCTAACGGTGAGAAGACTGAAAATATATTTATAACTAGCGATACCCGTCGTGGCTTCGCTCACGTTAAATTTGTAAGGTGTAGGAGAATATTTATAAAAACAAAATAATATTTTAGCCTTTTTTGCATAAAGACATTCAGAAATATATTTAAAAAAGTGCTTGAGGGTATAATTCACAATTAGGAATGACAGAAGATTTGAAGTAGGCAACGTTCATCGTACGACAACGACAACTTTCTTTACGTATGAAAGGGAAACGTAAACAAAGCTAATTAAACGATTAAACTGAAGAATTCTAGATTAACTTTTTTAAAAATTGTGGAATATCACCAATGAGCGATGAGTGCGGGGGAGCGGGTAAGTGTGTGCGAAGTGGAAAAAAACGAAAAAGGAAGAGCGTATTCTGAAATCATAGGAACCTTCCCAGTGGTATAATGAAATTTCAAAACGATCAGACGTGTAGTTTTTAAGAACATGAAAAACATGTTTCTGCTTTATATATACAGAAGATAATGTGACTTATACAATTATTTTCACTTTGTCACTTGCAGATTTACAGATAAAGGTATTCGCCATCTAGTGGTGAAGGCTTGAACCTTTCTAGCATTAGTAATGCACCTGAAAGCATATAACTTGTAAAAGCTATTTCAGTTTTTTTTATTGCAAAACAGCAAAGGAGAAACAGCACTTATATTAGAACTAACATCAACACTAATTATAATTCGCCTACTTTATTAATTTTGAAAAATTGGATGAACTTTGAGTCCATAAAATACAAAAAGTGAGAGATTCAACTTTTTTTTAAAAATTCTAGTTAGCTGGCATCTATGTGTATAAATTACACGAAAACCAATTGAAAGCCAGATACATAGAAGGTGATCGACGGTTTTCAAATCACTTATAAATTGATACTTTTTGAAGCGATACAAATATCAATTATAAAAGTCTTTTACAATTCACAAAAAATATTTAAGCAAATTAATGAGAAAATTTTTTAATGAGTCTATTTTTCTTAAATCAAGCACAAACTCATATTTTATGAATCGAAACAATTCTGAAATGTGATAGATTAAAACGTTTACACACCTTTTATGCTAAAGTTTTGTTTGGTTGTTGAGATGAAGCAGTAATTGCGCAGAGGAATTGTATGACTTGAAAGGCCAAATTGGGCTTGTCAAGATCATTATATAAGCATCGAATTATTTCGAACGCTTTCAATGTGTGAATACATAACAAGATAAAATAATAAGATATGATGAAAATAATTGGTTACATGCACAGTGTTACATAATCAAGTTTTAAAAAGAATTTTCGGGTTTAGGAAAGCCACTATTTTTCATTGCATTGGAAAATGATATGTTCATAAAAAGATTGATTTTTAACGTATGCGTATTTTTAATGCTACTGACTTATTTTTATTTCTTTAAAACAAGATATTTCTCCTTTCATGACAAAATATCATAAAATTATGAAAATAATTCAATAAAAACAAAAATAAATTCATCAAGAAAAATATTTTTCGCCTTTTTTCAAACAACTCGTAAAAAAGTTACATATAAATCCTAGCTCAAATATCCAGGGTCGGATTTTTTTTCAAACACGTTAAAAATTGTAGCATTGAACGGTTATTCAAGTCAAAGGTTCTCTGAATTTATAGATACTTTTTACTTTTGTTATTCGTTATTTAACTGTACTCAAAAAAGCTTTTTCAATCGCATAGCCGACGGCCAATACATGTTTATTCATGCACTTCGCAAAGGAACGTGTGATAATTCATGACTGACAAAGTTACTATCTGCGCGCAACTGGACTGACAAGTACAGCTTTGTGGGTCTGACAGGGTTGCAGAAAAACGACCTCCGCAAATCCAGCGACACTGTAAACGCTGCTATAGAAAAGAGCATATTTCGGTAGAAGGGGTGGAACGAAAAAGAATTTGAAACTTGGATTGATAAAGCTTGCGAGTGCAAACAGTCTGATAAATGTTTTTTTCCCCTTTTTTCGAATCTCAGTACTCTTGATGCTTTACGTAAAATAAAATCTTGTAAATAAGTTGAAAGTGCGATATTAATTCTAATTTATCTTATAAATTTTTGATATGATTCATTAAAAAGGGATACTGTAAAGTCGAGGTAAAAATGAATATTTACGAACTGCTTTTCAAATTTCTACGGAAAATTTTGCATTATGGATAAAGGACTGACGAGAAAAAAATCAAACAAAACGAACGATTATAGCTTTTTACATATAAAAAAATATTCTACATACCTTAAAAACGTGATTTTACTTTAGCTTCGGTATCCCCTTACGGTGGACGGGCTGAAAAATAAATCCAAAATAAATATCTCGTTTTACTATTCCTTGTCTATTTTTTTTAATTTTGCTATTCAATTAGATGCTTATCCAAATATTCGATTAAACGTACATGCTGATCATAGAAAAAAAAGCTGAACAGATTTTCTTCACAATAGGCACATAAAACCAATTACAGTTATTTGATTTCGCAAAAAAAATCATCCAATTTCATAGTCGTTCTGTCACCTCTATATGTGCCTCGTCACCAGATATCAATTCAACCGATTGATTTTCCTTCTTCTCAGCGAGAAAACGACTCTCTATTCAATTTCTTCGCGCTACTCTATGCGATAAACACACTTTTTCCTTTCTCTCTTTCTCTCTCTCTCCCTCTCTCTCTCTCTCTCTTTGCTGCTCAACGCGGCGAGCTCTATATATAACACACATCCGAAAGAAGAAAATTTTTCTGATTTAGACTGAGTAAGTGTTTGTGCGTGCAAGGAAAAAAGTTTGTCGAAGGCGAAGCTTTTGATCTCCTTGAAGAAGAGTTTTAAAGTCGGAGAAAAGTTAAATTCGGACGTTTCAAAACGGTGTACGTTGCATTCGTGCAACGAATATATATCTATGTGTACATCTCATTGACAACTACCGAGTGGACCGATCTGTTTTTATATAATATACACGCATGCTGCGAAGGCGAATAAAACGCGTACTCAATCAAAAAAAAGTTAATCAAACTTTTATCGCGTCTCCGCATAAGCTTTTCATTCTCAGCACGCAAAATAATGTTAGTGAGATAAGCTCGATGGTCAAAACTGATATTAAGATGGACAACTTAATCCAAAGAAAGACATACATCAGTAGCATGATTTACAAGTTCGCTTGCTCTTCGATGTCACACTGATCTGCCGTTTTTTCTATGTTATGCTTTGCTGGAAAATAAAATGAACATAAAAAAGGCGTAATTTATCTTCATGAAACGCACCTCGACTTTCATAATAAACGTCCTTGTGTGTGCAAGGGCCTTTATAAACTTTTAATTATACCTCGGGTATATGGAGAATCAGCGCAAAGCACACGGCAATGGTTATATTTACGCTAGGGAAAAAATAAGATGAACGCAAAGCAGGCTGAAAGTGCAGATAGGCAACGACCTCAAAAAAAGGAAAAAAAAATTATAAAAAGCATTTACTCGCGAACAAAGGCGAACGAGACGTGTAGACGACGCTCTTATGCTAATTAGGCGAGAACCTCAACGAGACACGTGTGAACATCCACAAAATTACACCTGTTTCCAGCTATTCACTTTTAATGATATTGTCAGAATGATAGCAACTTTAAGATGCAAATGATACTTTTGATGACTTGAAAGCAAAAACTTTATTTGAGAGTAATTTGATTTATAAATATTTTTTAATATGTCACCTTATGAACCGATTATTAAGCAATAAAACATTGGCTTATTATTGTTGTGGCGTTCTCATCGAGCTAGCAGTAAGGTATGCGTTGCTCGCGTCGCTAGCAGCGACTTTCCCCGCTTAGTGGCAAACAATTTAGAAGTAAATTTGTAACGAGTAAAGCTCGACTTTTATTACGAACGAATTTGAAGATTTTTTTTCATTGATTGGGCCTTGCTTGTAGCTCCAAGCTCACTTATACAATTATTTTTACTTTTCTACTTGTAGGTTTACAGAAAAATTGGTTCTCGCCATCTAGTGTCGGAGGCTTAAAGTGACCTTATTATATTCAAAGTGGTTGAAAACTGATCTGTTTTTTGAAACAATAAAATTGTAAAACAAGCCAATAAACGATTAAAAAAAATTCAAATGCTTATTTGTTGGTCGTTAAACCATTATAAATGTTGCGCATTTCTACTGGGGAAATAGTCGCTTTTACATCATAGTTTTAAATTAGAGTAAAAAAAATATATAAACTTAATTTTCACTCAACAATACGCATCGCTGAGTACTCTATTTCATCTGGAAGTTAAAGGAATTGATTTCTAGAAGAACAAAAAACTAATAGTACCATATAAGTACCTTTGCAACGATAAAATGTTAAGGAAGAAGAATCACGTATGTTTTTATGAACCTTAATTTAAGAACGCTGACAACATCCCAAGTTTGCTCTACATATATGTCTACGGGCACACAAATGTGTGAGTATAAGTTGGAAGAGAAGACTTGATTTATGATGTTGCTTCGCGAGTATAATAGCCGAACGGCTGGATAGGGCTTGCGCGCATCCGTGTTGAAATGATTTGCCGCGTGCAATGAGGAAATTGAATTTCGCTAGAGTACGAATTCGGGATCGCAGTCCGATTCGAGTATTCGAATGACTTTTTTAAATAAGCACTGTGCGGATGCGCCCGGTACCTATTTGTATATATCGCGAATTGTGAACAGGCAAAATGTGAGCAAACGTTAGGGTGCGAGGAACTTTATTGGACAATCAAAAGATATAGTAACGATATCCGAGCCCCCGAGCTTCTCCGAGGCGATAAAATTAACGTTTGTAGTTTCCAAGGATCTGAAAAAAATAACAGACCAGTCGGTAATGCCATTGAATGGCGTTTTCGCGAGCCACTTGTGAAAATACTACGTACTCGTAATATTCGCGTGCACTGCATGCATATAAAAAAAAAACATACAACACAGGATGTGCAGACAAAGTCGTTACGACTAATCTATTCGCGATGAAATTGATTTTCCTATTGCCGAGGCTGTGCGCAAACACGAAGGAGGATAAAGTCAATAAAAAAGATATTGAATTTGCAGGTATCCTGTACTGCTCAGAATCCTTTTGGGTAACGTAATATTATAAAAAAAATTACATTCCAAACGATATTAAAATGCAATATAAATACCAAATGCGCATCGGAAAAATCAATAGAACGTATAATTTGCTAACCAAAATATTTAGATTAACGGGATTCCATTCATACGATAGTATGAATTAATGTACCGCTAAAGCATATTTCGTTTGGTCTAAATAAACGAAGAAAAAAAACCGTGGTCTGAAATAAAAGGAACAAAATGTATTTAAAATAAGAAAATACTCTAGTCGGAACATTTATTCGCGCGCGCGCGCCAGAGCCGAGCTCAGCAGCGGGAGTCCTATATATACACATAAAATGCACTTTCCCTCGCGGCAGTACCATTTTCACTCTTAAAATCTGCCCCTCACTTACGACAAACGCTTTCCTCGCCTCGCGCGTTAAGAGCGAAAAACGAACTAAGAGCGAGAGAGAGAGAGAGCAAGTGTTGCCGATTGCGCGCCTCTTTCTCCCGCGCTCAGTCTATATATAACTCGCATTCGAGTGACTTTGCGTGCGCGCGAAAATGTTATAGTGATATATACGACTTTTTCTACCTCTGTCTTTCTTGCGCTCTGTTCGTGGCGCGCGACCTTTCTCGCTCCTTTTCTCCTATCTCTCTCTCTCTCTCTTTCTTTCTTTTTCTCCGTGCGTCCGCAAGTTTCAAAGTTCAAGCGTCGTACTTGCTCTTTCTCTCGAGGCGGCGCCGTGGCACCTGCACTAACGCGCGATCATTAACCTGACGTGCTTAATTTAATCGCTAAAGTTTTCTTGACGCAGAGAGAGAGGGGGAGAAAGACAAAGGAAGTACTAGATTCAACTTTTGAATCTGCTCGTGTAATTGTGTATAATACATATCTATAGGGGCAGGGAGAGGGGAAAAAAGGATTTGTTTTTCAAAGCCCATAATTATAGGGGATGAACAGTTAAGAAAGAGTAAGATAGCTTCTAAGAGACTTTTTGACATAGGAAGCCCGTAATATTAACTATCATCGTTACGTAAATGAAGGCTAAGAATGGTCAAACTCGTATCACCGATCGTAAAACTTCATCGAGAACCATCTTTTTATTTTTTTAATATAAAAAAGAGGTCAAAACCATCGAATTGTTTAGAGCTTCATTGAAATTTCAAAATCTTATCTATTACTAAAATTTTTAGCCAAATTTGAATCCTCAAGATGAAAGATTTAAAATCGATTTTATTCTGACACATGACGCTATATTGATTACGGAAATTTTTAAACTTCGAGTTTTATGCGCTAAATCTCAATATCGTTTGTCTGTGTTCGCGTTACTTTTTTCTTATTTTTTTATCAAGCCAATGTATTAAGATATCTAGAATTTTACAAGCTATTATAAAACAGTGAGTTTGAATACATACTCAAATTTTATGACAATAGCTTGCAAATTCTGATTTAAAAAGTAAATGGATTTAATATTTTTGAAATGGATTTGAAAAGCAAAAAACATCAAAATTTAGTCAGTTGCTTTCACTTTTTAATATACATGAATAAAATGTGTAAATTTAAGGAAATAGTGACTAGTCTAATATATGATATATGTTTTATAGGATATTCATCGCATAGATCCAAATCCAATTTAATATTCTTCAAATTATCCAAATGCTCATTATTAAACTCAATCTACCATTGTTCAATTACATGGCTATGATATGAATGAAATCAACTATATTCTAAAAATTACTCAGCATAACTGAAATTTTTATTTGTCAAATACTATACCAAATTAAAAAGTTTACCATACAGTAATTTAAAATAATACTTTTTTCAAAAGATTAAACTAGTGCAAGTATGACAGTCTTATCCCAATTCAAATCTAACTCACGAATCTTTTATTTTTCTAATTTTGGAATAGTTGAATATCAATCTACTATTGAACAATTATTTAAAGAACTATGATAGTAAGGAAATCAAACATATTCTGACAACTATTCATACGCAAAATGAAATTTTCTTTTTCAATCTTTTATTATACTGAGAGTCTGAAAAATAATTCAGTACGTGATTTTTAACACCTATTTTGTATAAAAAAACCTTACTTATGATTCTACTTGCCCGGCCGTCTCAATCAAAATCAAGACGTTCACCTTCGTCATGAATTTAATAAGAAATGTCAATTTATACTAAAAATTTAATAATATCAGTTATTATTGCTATAAATGTTTCTTTAACATCTAAAAAAAATTTTC